CTTTTCTTTTTTTTCTTTCTTTTTTTTTTCTGGCCGCCAGGGGAGCTGCTGCTTTTCATCGTCCATCAACGACACCGATGAAGTTCTTCCGCATTCCACATTCCCCGGAGTCTTCTTTCTTTATGGCCTCATAAATTAGTTAAATTTAGCCTCCCACACAAGGTGGTGCCTTATTTTCCTACTTGACAGATGCAACTGTCTTTCGGGTTGCAAAGGTCGACAACGGGCTACACAATGGCTGGACACCCACTCCAGCCCGGGCTGGCTTCGAACTCATGACCTTTTGGTCAGAGTGATCTTAATGCAGCTGACACTCAGCTAGCTGCGCCACAATCCCGGTGCACAGTATACCTGTTCCAGAGCCTAGTTTCTGTTTGTGTTATCTCATTTTAGAGAACATTCAGCTGAGCTACAGGAACCAATGCCTACCCATCTGTTTTCCACTACACCATGGGCTCATAAGCACTTCTGCCAAGTTATAGAACAGAAGAGTTAAATGAAAAGTCATTGGGTTGCTCCATTTAGAAGGTTGCAGGGACATTAAAACTTGTAGAACCATTGCTTAATGCTACAATTGCTTAATGGTATCATGAAAGCATTGTATCTTCAGTTCCTGCATTTCCAGTTTTAAAAAGTCCTGGTAGTTGGAGATGGGAAATGTTTAGAAAAATGTATTGTTGAAGGCTTTAATGGCTGGAATCACTGGGTTGCTGTAAGTTTTTTAAGCTGTACGGCCATGTTCCAGAAGCATTCTCTCCTGACGTTTCACCTGCAACTATGGCAGGCATTCTCAGAGGATGCCTGCCATAGATGCAGGTGAAACGTCAGGAGAGAATGTTTCTGGAACATGACTATGCAGCCTGAAAAACTTACAGCAACCCAGTTTTGAAAAAATATGGCTAGTAAGTCAGTTCAACCTGGTATAAGATATTTCCCTCCATTTTAAAGTTTCCAATAAACCCTACTTAATGAAACATCTGGAAAAAAAAGGGCTGGTATTAGCTCTCAGCATCATTATTTAAAATGGAAGCCAGGTGGCCTACTCAACTTTCCATTTTATGGTGAAGATTCAGCAAACACTGATCACCAACTTGAACACTATCTTGGTCAACCTAGTGGTCATTGTAGAGAACTCACTGTCTGTCACCAATAAATATTTGAATGTTGATATCAATAAATATGTAAGGGGAACGAAGAGAGTGAGTTTAAGCACCTTTTTATTATATCTGTTTGTATGAGGTTTTACTTTTTAAATGTCTGTATGTGTTACTTTAATGTGTACTGTAACTTGTCTTCAGCTCCAAATAATCTTCAGCCATCTTCCTTGGAGTAAATCTTCATTTCAGTAACTTGACACCAGTCTTTAATGTAGTAATTGAACAAAGTAATGTTTATTTATGGCTTCTCAGGCACATAAAGCGCAATGGTTACACAGTATTTTTCTTCACTGCACTTATTGGATATTGTTACATTCAGCTTTTACTATCATGAATAAATAAAACTGTCACTATATGACATTCCAAATGGCTTATCTTATGCAAACTTGGTTTGGCAACTTTCCTCACTTTAAAATATAATTATTTTTCAGTCTCCTGACTGGGTAAATTATATCTTATACGAATAGTTTCTTCTTTATATCAATAGTTTAACTGTAAACTTATTCTCAAAGAACACTTTTCTCCTCAGTCTCACTGACTGATGACTTATATTCAGATTATCCTTTTGTTTACTTCAGTTCTACCACTGAAGACACAATCCTATACTGGGATTTAATTCTCCTAGCTCACAGGCTAGATTCTAATTCAAAATGGTTCCTTTAACACTTTAATTATCAAGGCTGAAGACTTTAACTTAGAATAAGAACCTCCTCACTCCAGTTCTCACGAAGCCAGAGACATCTTCCCTTTAGCTAAAGACTGGCTCATCTTCTAAAATGTCCACTCTCCTCCTTTCAGTTAGTTCCACCCCTTTTTCCTCCTAGCTGTTCTGAAATGGATACATTTCTACTGCAGGGGCTTCGCTACTATAGCAACGCATCAACCAATCAGCTGTAGCTGACTCTGCCCTGCGCTTGCCATATACCAGCATTAATAAACACATTCAAAACTTACATTATAATTAGATATTTCGGTACATCATGCTCCATGGGAAGCAATAGTGCACTATCAATTAGCTGACATGCTATAATTTCCAGAGGCTCTGAAACATGATGGCAGTTGGTCTGATGAAGCTTTGATATTACCAACACCAGTGCTGTCTCACTAAATACAGTTCTTTATGCAGACATCCAAACCCGACATGATTTTTTAGTTTCATTATTTCCTCCACTTCCCAGCAGGATGAACCATACTAATTTCAATGTCATCGTGGCAAGTCATGACTAGTGAGAATTCAGAAGTGATTATATAGACACATTTCCTTAAATCTAAAGGCAAAACAGATGGGAAATAACTATAATGGGCAATTAACAAACACAACCACTATTAATGTTTAATAAAACCAAGGGGTACTAATCGTGGCTACCATAGCAACAGTGCACTACCGTGGCTTCCTTAATCATCACCAACCATAGAATATCTTCAGCTTTATGAAAATATTCCTTATAAATAAAATAAGGAGGATTGATACAGAAGAAGTACAGAAGTTCATGCTGGGAAGAGACTGACATTATCTCACATGTTCTGATTTTTTGGTTGGTGGGGTGCCCTTCATTAGCTGTTTTTTCTGTAGCTCTGAATGACTTCAAACTATCTGGTTGTATTAAGAGTAAAGAAAAGGTCTGACCTCTCCTGTAATTAAATGGACTTTCAGTATTCAAAGGATGCAGTGCAACCTAATTCTCTGCTATGTTTTCTACTCTGGAACCTACTTTATTTTAGTGGCTCAATTACTAGCTGCAAGAATCAAGAGTACTTTTGTGGCCAGATAATAAAATGTACATTTCTTGACATTGGTTTTAATCCCTTTAAAAAAAACACCTTTATGTTTATTGTGGTAAACTATTCTTCAACCACTGAGGTTTTCCCTGTCGTAACCTCTCCAGTTCTACAGTCTATAATGATTTTTTGTCTCTGGTTTATTCAGCCCTTGGTAAACTAGGATTCATAATGAGATTATCCCTTTGTGGGGAGTATGAGATTAATGTTGGCAGGATGGGTGATGTATGAAGCAGTAAGCAAATGATATGCAGTATAACTGCAATGCACTCTACGTGGGGTTGCCTCTGAAGACTGCTCAGAAGCTCCAGTTAGTCCAATGATCGGCATCCCGGTTGCTCACTGGAGCAGGGTACAGGGAGCGTACAACTCCCCTGTTACGCCAGCTCCACTGGCTGCCTATTACCTTCTGAGCACAATTAAAAGTGCTGGCTTTAGCCTATAAAGCCCTAAACAGTTCCAACCCAGTTTACCTGTCCGAACGTATCTCCTTCTACGAACCACCAAGGACTTTAAGATCATCCAGGGAGGCCTTGCTCTTGGTCCCACTGCCATCACAGTTGCGTTTGGTGAGGATGAGAGACAGGGCCTTCTCTGTGGTGGCCCGTCAACTGTGAAACTCCCTCCCTAATGAGATCAGAACTGCCCTTCCCTCCTGACTTTCCAGAAGAAACTCAAATCCTGGCTATGGGATCAAGCATTTGCACAATAGACTGATTTGATGGGGAGGATAATGTTTTTAGTGGACTGCAATGGACTCATTAGGATGATGATTTGAACTGGCAAACTCTTTTAATGTATATTTATAACTGTTTTAATTTATGCTAATTGTATTTATGTTATTTTTTATGGTGTCAGCATTGAATAGTGTCTGTGGGTAGCTGTCCTGAGTCTGTTTTCAGAGGTTGAGAAGGACAGGATATAAATGTTCCAAATAAATAAATATGTTTTATAGTTTACTGTTTTTATCTATTGTTACATGCTATTTTAGTTATGTGATTTATTTAATATCTTGTGAGGCACTGAATTTTGCCATTTACTATGATGGGGTTTCCTCAGCAAGATTTTTTTAGATGAGTTTGTCATTGCTTTTACAAAGCAGCCCACTTGACCAAGATAGCCAACATGGTGTAGTTGGTTTGGGTGTTGGACAATTCAACACTCTCTCAGCCTCGAAGGAAGACACAGCACCACATTGGCATTTTCTCAATGTAGAAAGTAATACAGTGTGACCTAGAGAAATGTTACTTATTGTTTAAGGGATTCTGGGACATGTAGTCCAAAACATTTTAAAACTCTGCAGATAACAAAATGCCAAATGTTAGAAGAAAGATAGCTTGATCATAGTCATTAATATGTGCCATCATAGCAATATAAACTGATATTCTGGAACTGCCCTTAGTGTACTTAACTCACTCACTGGTGGCCTATATGCAAATTCTTGATTAATGTGGGCTAGATTACAACGTGAGCAGACAGTGAAGCAATAACTTCCACTGCATCAAATGCCAAGTTCTGCCCAGATTCACTCAACCTTCCATGTGGTCCTTATGGAATTTAGAAATCAGCTCATGCTACACTGACAAACCAGATTGCAAACCTTGTACTGAACCTAAAGTCCAGTGGGACCTGTAAAGGGATATTGCAAGTAATTGATTTTGTCTTTCTCTTCGTACAGATGAATGATGTTCTACTGTATACATATCCACAGAAGGATGGGAAATACCGCCTTAAGAACACATTGGCTGTGTCTGGCATGAGGGTAACATCAACTTACTACTACTACTACTACTACTAATAATAATAATAATAATAATAATAATAATAATAATAATACTTTATTTATACCCCACCACCATCTCCCCAAGGGGACTCGAGGTGGCTTACATGAGGCCAAGCACAACAATTACATCAAAGCAAATATACAACATAAAATAATACATCAATAAAATAAAATGAAAATAATGAAAAACAATACAAAATAAACACTTTCTTTTGTTTAGCTGGAACCCCTTTAGTTCTCTTTATTTAGATGGAACAGGAATATTTTATCTCCCACATTCCCTTTCCTTCTTACAGGAAAAAACTGGAAAATTTAGAGTGCCTCCAGATGAGAAAAAAATCTCAACCAATTTCAAGACCTTCCCATTCTTTTTTTTCACCAGCATATTAAATGCATCCAATCTCTTTCATGAAATGTCACAAATTTTCTTTCCTCACATTAAGTCTTATGCAATATTCATGTCACATTAAGTCTTATGCAATATTTCAAAAACAAACTTTCTCTTAATTTCTACTGAGCCATTAGTATTACTACTATGGTATGATGATAATGATAATGTAATAGTCAAAGTGCTAAAAGTGCTTTAACAATCTTTTTTGTAAGGTATGCCTTCAAATAATTTCTGATTTTGGGGGTTTTCTGGATTCACCTAATGGGTTTCCATTGGTTGATAGGAAGTCATAGTCCAATGCTCAAACCACTGCACTATATATTAATTAAACATTATGATCACTTTATTTTAGTCCTAGCATTCCTGTCTCTCTCACTTGATCTCTGTTGAGTCTGTCTTCCAAAAATAATGGATATCTTTACCGCTTTTGTGGTGGTAGAACCATGTAGGCAAGGACAAATACATTTCATTTACAAAACATATGGGGTTAAGCTAAGCCATCCTGAAGAGTTGGGATGCAAAGCCTTTGGAATGTCCAGGAAATACTTCAGAATGAAGAAAATCTCATATGGATCTCCAAAATAAACTCCGTTGATACAGGGGCAAAACCAAGGTCTTCCAGAGACTTTCACCCCATATGGAAACACTCATATAAAAGCACAGGAATTTGAAACCCATTTCACAAGGAATGAGCAAGAATATTGGTAAACTCCTGAAGAAGAGACAGTATGCAAAAATTGTTAGTAATAATGAAGAATGGAAATGAAAAACAGGTGTTCTATCCAATCAGAATTCTTTGTATTATGAGCTGCAGGTTGGATTGAGACTACAGTATGGGAAAGAAACTCTCAGAAATATCACTGTACCCAATTGGCCAGTTGTACCTGGCAAAATAAGAAAAAAATAATTTCAATAGGAAATATTACTTAGACCACTCTGAGTTAATGTTTTAATACGACTCTTGCCAGTAGCCCAGCTAAGCTGATTGATCCCAGTAAATCTAATTCACACAGAGAATTTGGGCAAAGAGATATACAAATATCACAATATGTTCAATAACTGTTTGTAGTATTGGCCACTATGACTTAGTATAATGGTGCATCATATTTATTTATTTATTTATTTATTTTTGTTGTATTTATATACTGCTTTTCTTACCCCTGGAGAGTGATAAAATAAAATAGATAGCTATATAAATAAAAGGCAGCTATTCCAAAGTGAGAAAAAGTTAAGGCACTTGGACACTTCTTCCATTACAAAAATTGGTTCTCTGCAAAGTTAAGCTTCTGGGAAAAGAGAGAAAGAGATTTAAGGGAAAGTTTGGAAATCTAGGAAGAAAGGAATGACAGGGGAATTTTTGAAACCTAAAAGAACATATCTGAGGGGCTAGTGAGGTCTGCCTTCAAGGACATCCTTGAGCAGAAACTGGAAAGCCATCTGTTTAGGATGCTCTAGGTATGGATTTTATGCATAAAGCAAAGATTGGGGTCAATGCATTTACGAGCCTCCCTTTCCCCAGCCTCATGGACCTTAGACATAAAAGTTTTTTGCACAGAAAATAAGTTCATCCTCTAGGATTCCATATATTCATGGAGTTTGGAAATTTCCTTAGAAGTGAACTGCAAAAGTCACTATATTGCTACAAGTCCATGGAAGGAAGGCTGTGAGTGGTTGTATTATCTGGATATTGATGGTTTAACTTGCTTGCTTGCTTCATACAAATGTCTTTTGTTCTTAGGTTAGCCGTCCAATGACAGAAAAAGCCCAAAATGTCCTGAAGATTGAATATGCTGAAAATTGCCTAATCTTATCAGCAAGGTAGGTGATATCATACCCCTATTCATTTTGAAATATTGAATTTCCAGACAGAGCAATTGCTCCCCAAGAACAAATTGGTATCTCACTATTTTTAAACTCCATTAATATCCATGGTGTTGCAACAGATAATGGCCAAGTGTTTGACTATAAAGAAGGCATTCATTTAAATGTATGGCTCAGAAGACTCAACTATCTCAATGCTTCTAATGAGCCAAAACACATCGGAAGATCCCAGACACAGACAGAACAGCAGAAAATCTATTTCTAATAGACTCCTGGTCTATGTCTTGATCTTTTGTAACTTTTTCCTGTCACGCTTTGCCTGCTTCATTTCTTATAACTTCACTTGACAAGTCATGTCCCTGAGGTAACTGGAGGACTAATGAAAAGCAGTAATTAGCCAATTCTCCTCAGTGAGTTTAAAGGCATTTAATAGCACTTAAACGACAGAGGAAAGATTAAAACATTCCTGACAATATAATGGCAGCTCATTTGACAAGAACCCTTCCTCATGAATTAACAACTATCATGAGCAAAAAAATACATTTGAAAGTGCAGGGTTGTTGGCGCCATGAATGGAATCATGCTGGTATGACTGCTTCTGGGACAAATGCAGAAAGGTTGGGGTCCTGGGGAAATTATAATCCTATTGCCTCCCTACTAGTAATAGTTCCCTCAATTGGAAATCAGCCCCCACATAAGTAGGGGTTTTCCTACTTACATTCTGCCATAGTATATATCTCATTCCAATGATATGAATAGCTACACTGAGCCACTGGCTAAAGTTCATGGGCATCAGCAGTCATTAAACCAATGGTTTCCAACCTATGGTTCATGGACCACCACTGGTCCCCAAGAGTGAAAATATGGTCCACAGCCTCACTATTACTAACACCATCACCTCGAAACCACATGGCAATGAGAGCGACTGGTCTCACAAAAACCTCTTATAGTGCCTCCCAAAGAGGATGTTGGGAGGGGAGAAGCTTACTACCCATGAAAGCTTACTATTATCACATCAGCTCTAGATTATTAAATATGGGTTTCTGTGGGCAAGCAGATGGTGACTACTGGATGGCATATGTTCTGTATCAGAAACTAGAGCTGATGTGGTCTATCCAATTCATTTTTCTGAATCAGCACCTCAAATAACCGAACCAAATGTAAAGTTGGCCAAAAACTGATTTGCAACACTTTCGGTACTAATGTTGGAGTGGTCCCTGGTCAAAGTGGTCCCTGGTCAAAAAAAGTTGGGAATCCCTGCATTAAATGAACATAGACTGCCATGGGAGAGAACCATGTGACTCCTTTCCAAGCCTGCAACAAAGACAGAGGAACAAAACTGGGCAGTTCCGTGGGACTCATTTGCCTGTTCGATGTGTTCCACTATAACATGCCCCTTGAGGGCATCATCCTGAGTGAGTCTTTGACCCTGATCCAAATAAGTGGTTGTTGCTAGTCAGAAAGCATACAGCAGAAGGGGTATTACATGTTATGGGGAAACAGGTGGAAGAATTGCCTCTGGGACTGTTCACAGTTTGGCAGCAATTTGTTTCTTGTAACGTGTTCAATTTTCAATCTGCCATGTGCCCTGTTCACTGGACTATTCCGTTTGCGTAATCATTTCCCCTTTGCATCATTAGCTGTGGTTGTATTCTGCACAACAAGGAATTAAATTCTTGTAGGTTAAAAGAGTGCTTGGTTGTGTTATTAAAAAAACAATCAGTAGCTCTCAAGAGAATTCTTATGAGGCAGAAACCAGTAGGAAGCAAATGTTGAAATTAGGCACTTTGCGCGCTGTTGAAAATGACTGGTATAGTTTTAATGGAAAGGTCTTAGGAATACATATTAAAAACAGCTTTTTAAAAACAACTTTTTTTCCTGAAATGCATTGGAAAGTCATTTGTAGACTGAGCTGATGGTATATCGAAGACTCCTAATAGTCACCAGCTCTGACTTGCTATTTTGGTAGCTGGCCACAGAATTAGGTCTTTTGCGGAATGTGAATGAGAGGCTTTGTACTTAGTCAGCCCATCAGACCCAGTATCACGGCCAGGCACTGCTCTGTAACCACAGGACTTCAGATAGAGGTCATTCAAATTGTCTTCAGGCTGCTGTGACATTCAGTTCTTTAACTGGGTCCCCTTCATGGCTCATTCACAAGCTGTAATGATATCTCCCTAGTCCCAGCTGCTGTGAAGTTGTAGTCTGGCTCCCCATTTCTATTTAGTGCATATACACATAATTAAGAACAAAAGCAATAACAGGCTGCCCCAAAGTGAGAGCAAGAGGCTATCCAAAAGCTATTTGTGAGATATGCTGTGGTGTAGTTTTGGAGGCTTTGTTGTACATATGTGCAGAGCCATCCAGTGTCCATCTTTAACTGCTGCATTCCCTTCTTCATGCAGTGGTCACTTTATGTAGAAGATATTACAAAGTGGAAGTTATGTTTTTATTTCTACTTTTGTGAAATATCACAATTTTTGGTATGCATCCCTTATCTGTAATTCTAAATTCTGAAATATTCCAAAATCTAAAATTGTACATATGAGTTGCTGAGATAGTGACATCTTTGCTTTTTGATGGTTGGATGTACACAAACTTTGTTTCGTGCACAAAATTGTTAAAAATATTGCGTATAAAATTGCTTTCAGATAATGTGAATAAGATATATGTGAAAAATAAATTGCATGTTTGGACTTGGGTCCCATTTGCAAGATATTTCATTATGTATATGCAAATATTCCATATTTTAAAAAATATGAAATACCTATGACCCCAAACATTTTAGATAAGGGAAACTCAGCCTGTATGACCACATGTGACCAAATGGATCAAAAAACATGTGAAAAGGTTCTGTTGGAGACCAGGCTTTTTTTTGGGGGGGGGGCATCTCTGATCAACTTTTCTTGGCAATTTTCCTTTGAAACATAACCATTGACTTTCCCGTAGCCAGGATTTTGTTTCGGGGGGGGGGGGGGAGAGTCTGAGTGAAAGAGCGTCTACCCTAGCAAACCTTTTGTATCGTTACCCCAATACCCCCATGCATATGGGATATATTGAGCATGGTGATCAGATCATGATATGAATAAACATAACAGTTTAAATAATGTACCAGTAAGGCCTTCTCGCGGACCACCATGAGAATTTCGGGAGGGGGCTGAAGCCCCCCAAGCGGCCCCCCAAGCCCCCCCCCCCCCCCCGGCTATATGCCTGTTTGGAACCTTTCCACTTTTTCAAAACCAGTTGTTCAAATACATTGAAATTTCTGGCACATTATTCATATTTCATTTCATACCTCTTCCCCTTTCTTGCCTCTCATAGTTCACAGGCATGGCTATGCTTACATAAGTAAACACATAAATGATAAATTGTATACATGTCATTCCTAAAGTCCAATCACAGTCTGTAGCTATCGTTTATTTCATGTATGGCAGGATTTTGCTATGTGACCAACATGAAATACAGGAAGTGAATCTCCTTCTGGCACATAGGTGCATCTTACAGATGGCTCAGGATTTCCTCTGTTACATGCTAGTTAAACAGTCAATAAAGACACATGATTCAAGCCAGAAATGTGGGCAGCACTTATATGTGAGAGTAGCTTTTTCAAATTGAAACTATCTTGCAAATATGGACAGAGGAGTAAAAAAGAGAAGAAAGGGTGTGAAAAATAAATAAGACTAGAAGTCTTGAACACAAGGTGATGTACAGAATCTCATTACAGCTGTGCCTTTGGGTCTTCTTTTTGCCAGCAGGGCCATTGAGCTTTATAGCAGCTGATGTTTTTCACAGTTAAGTGCCCACTCTTGGAGGTATGGGGATTCAGTCTCAGCTTAGCATAATTGATCAGCACTTCCTTTTCTACTACAAAACACGTCTTCGTGTCAAATACCTTTGTTTAGTTCCTCTCCCTTATTGATATTCTTCAAACTAGTATACCCAATATTCCTTTATCTATTTCCTAACAATTTCAGGGTTACACACTCCACAAGGTGTGAGTCCTGTTTCATTGAAACCCAAGTTACTGGAACACGAGTGAAAAAATAATGGAGTTTTGTGATCTAAGCAAGAAAGCAGAGAAGATCTCTCATTAGATCTCCCTTGAGTTTTAAAAATTGCACACCCACTGAGCCTATAACAGGCAAATGCATCTGTGTGGACCTGGTGGGAAAATTTGGATTGGAGCCATGACACTGGAGGAGGGAAAGTAAAGCTATACCTATACATGGTTTGTTGTGCTCTCAAACTATCCATTCCCACCATAGCCATCACCTTCAAAAGCTACTGTTTGCTTTTTATGATATCCATTCAGCAAATAGCAGCTTCAAGAGGTCTGTTTGAATCAATGGCCTGACAAACACACAAAAAGTATTATTATTATTATTATTATTATTATTATTATTATTATTATTATTATTATTATTATTGACTTTGTCCCCCACCTTTCTCCATGTGGAGATTCAAGGTGGCTAACAATTCCACAATTAAGTCATAGTTTTAAAAGTGCAATACAAAAAATTAAAAACAAAAAAATACAGTGTGGATTAAGGTTTTAAAAACAGATTAAAAGATAATAAATAATTAAAACTCACATTTCCCCTCTGAATCCCACCCACACTTCCCCAGCAGCATGCCCCTTATTCTTTCCCAAATGCCTGCTGGCAGAAAGTTCTAATAAGCATGGTCTGTTTTAGGTTGTAGTAGTGCAACAGTGACCTCTAATGCCCAGTCTGCAAAAATGGTTTTTATGGTTCTTTTTTTAGTTTTGTTTTACTAAATTCATAATTTCCCTGTCAAAAGGTACATTGACTAATTGCTGTGAATTTAGAAGTTGCATTGAATCTCCATACTCATCAAAAAGAAACAGCAAGGCCTGACTGTGGGAATCTCTGCTTTTTTCTCCACAGCTCATGCTCTGAAAGGGATGAATGGTACAACTGTATCAGCAGAAGCATCCCCGATGACTACAGGGCTCACAGTGCAGCTGGATTTCACAACAGTGTTGAAGTAAGAGCTGATCCCAGCTGGTTTGCTGGATGTATTTGAATAGATTTAAGAATAGGAGTCCCCTGTGGCCAGGCATTTTGATGGTTTTTTTTTTCTTTATGTAAATTCATCCGCCAAAGGTAGACAACAAAGGTTATCAGAACACATGTGTTCAATATTCATAGTGCTGAGGCTGCTAGTGGCAGAATTTTCTAGGTTTTTTCCCCCCTCAAGCATTATGATGTAGAGGATCCAGGTGCTTTACTGGAATCAAAACACTTATTTGGGTTACACTGATGGGTTAAGGATATTATTGAGGATAAACGGCATGGTCTTTGAATCCCAGCAACCCTTGTTGGCTATACCTTACTTTATATGTTAATGTTTATATTAAAGGCATTAAAAGGACATTGCACCATAATGGTATGAAATGAGCAGTAGCATAAAAGAATAAATTGAACTTCTCTAAAACATAAAGCAATTCATGAACTTCTATAGAACAAATGAACATGCAAAGTACTGCCTTGGAGAAAAATAGTACTCCCCTCTGCGTTCACTGCAAGTGAGAACAAGAAGCATGAGCCATCTGATCAGGTGACCCATGCATTACATGTCTCAAACTATTCATACTGAATAATGAAAGGTGTTAGGCTATCATTTAATCCCACTGGACACGACCAGCACAAACCTATAGCTAATTTCATGCGAGAATACCAAGAATCAGCTATTCAGATGTCCACCTTTTATTTTCAGCTGAGAGAAAGACTGGGAATTTCCTTAGGAGAGAGGCCTCCAACCTTGGTACCTGTGTCTCACGTCATGATGTGCATGAACTGTGGCTGTGACTTTAAGCTCACACTGAGGCGTCATCATTGCCATGCATGTGGAAAGGTAAACATCTTATCAAAGAAGGATGATTTTCAGCTTCCTTAGCAAGAGAGCCAGATGTTCTTTCTTCTATGAAAAAGTTTTGTAATGAGAAAATAATTCAGTTTTCAGACAGAGTTTCATAAAAAATATTGCATTCTGCTGTATTCATATAATGTGAGCTACCAGGAGAGCTAGCAGGTGAGGGACAACAAGATGCTGTCCTTCTCTCTCATGGAGAAGCTGAGTAGTCTGCAAATTAAGTCTCAGTTCAGAACTGGAAAAGGAATTTGCTTTTCCTTGGCACCAGAAGGCAGTGAGCCACTTTGAAAATTGAGGCAAACTTTTGGCTCGCACAAGCCTCATTCTGCTTAATGTATCAGTCCTGGTCAGATATGGAGTGACTGTCCATGATTCATACTTACAATGCTTTAAAGAGACCCACAAATAGACGAATCTCTGTCACATTGCTGGTGTTGTCTTACTGCATCCATTTTGGAAGATGTTGTTCTAAAAGAATAGCTTGGATGATGAGATCTGTTAAGGATGGCAAACAGTTATACTCAAATAGAATAAAACTGACTTAGTTCACTGTGTGATTTGTTCTAAGGCTTATCCTCTTACAAGTATTTGTTGGGCTGAAAGTTTATTTGGTTCATCAAGATTGTGTGTGATTAGTTCTGCTCTGTGACTGGACTGAAAGCTTACTAGTCACTTTGCTTGTTATCTTATTTGCTCGCCCGAATGAAGATTTGGTGTATTCCCCTTTTGCTTTTATAGATTATTTGCCGAAATTGTTCCAGAAATAAGTATCCTTTGAAGTATCTCAAAGACCGACTAGCAAAAGTTTGTGATGGCTGTTACACAGAACTGAAGAGGAGAGGTGAGTCCTCTCCATCCCTTCATTTAAAGCGTGAGTGCACCAAGTTTTTGGTTTCAACATTCTCATTTACTGTCAGTTGGAAGCAGGGACTGCCCACAAATGCATGGGAATACATACTTATTACACATATGCACATGCAGCTGGGTTGGCAGGTGGATTTCTCATCTAGTAGGAGGCATGGTATCCATATATGGGGTGAAACAGGCCTATTTTAATGTAACATCGGCATAAAAACAACTTTGTTACACACTGATCAAATCAAATAGGCTTTCATGTGTAGAGTTTAAAGAACTAGTGTGGTGCTGATAGCACAGAAAGAACACTTCCCTGGAGCTGAGAGACCAAGGACCTCATTATACTATAAAATGAATCTACTTTAAATCTGGTTAATGCCTGCTGCAGAATTCTGGGGTTTGTAGTTTAGAGGAGAGCCTTCAACAGCCTCACTGAACTACAAACCATAGAATTCTGCAAGAGGCAGAAACCAGATTTAAAGTGGATTCATTCTCTAGTGCGATTAAGTAGCAACTTATCCTCACTCAGGTATTAATACCTGCTGAATGACCTTTATACTGGTAATAATTTCCCACTTTAGTGTATCTCCCAGGAGTATTGTGAAAGTAAAATTATAAATACATTTGCTAGTCCCAAATACAGTAAACAATTTGAATCTGTTGTGTATTGGTTATCTTGGCACTTGAGTATATCCAATTAATTTAGCAAATCTACTTGAATTACAGTTAGCAGTTGATGGTTGCATACTGCCAAAAATACCTTAGAAAATGGGTGGGAGGAAATTGCATGTTATCAAGAAGAATTAAATGTTTCGAGGTTGGATTAGATACTTAAATATGAAGCAAGGACAACCCCAGCACCAAATATTTTTCTGTTTTCATTTCAATTATTACAGAGCGGCCAATGAGCATGAGCTTCCCTACAAGTTCATCCAGGTTGTCGAGTGGTGCCTTCTCTTCTGTCTTCCACAATATCCACTACACATCTTTCAAAAGACAAAAGAAAATTCCCTCAGCTCTTTTGGAGGTAGGATCAAGGATGCCTGCAAAAAGGCAAGGAAACTAAAAAACGTGGGTGTCTTGCTATAAAAACAATATAACATTTTTCTGTGTTGCAAAGCTAACATGTTCTGTACACAATTTGTGTGATGAGTATTTTGCCAGGGAATATTCTTGTATCCAAAGATTAAGTCTCTTTCTGACATAGAAATGGAAAGTGCAGAAAGGGGACAGCAGTAAAAATTCACACATTTCAATCCAAATTATTTCCTTTTTGGAAAATAATCCAAATTTAATTTACACTGCATTGTTCTCTCATCCCTGTTTTGAGGTATATTTTATTTTTCACTTAGGGAATTTTTCATTTTAAAAATCTTTGTAAGTTATTCCTATGTGACCACAAGAGGTCAGCATGTACCAATCTAAATAAGGTTTTCTCATGTAAAATGAGTAGTATTTTTTTACAATGTTTGTGTTTTAATCTGCCTCATGAGGATAGGCAGGTAACAACAACAACAGCAGCAGCAGCAGCAACAACTTCTTTATTTCTGTACCCCACCTCCATCTCTCCGAACGGACTTGGGGCGGCTTACATGGGGACAAAACCGATCAACATGGTTAAAATATAGCACATTAAATAAATATAAACAACATAAAACAGAATAAAACAACATTATAAAGCAAAACATCAAACCAATAACCAATGAGCTCTGCGATAATGATAAGTTTCTGAGCACTGGGTGGACTGGTGCAATTGTGGGGATAGGGCTGATGGATAAAGTGCATAGGTCATATGGCAGCAGTAGAGATAGAGGGCAGTATAAGATAGAGCATTATAACTTTGGGTACAGAACAATAATAAAGTATGAAGACAAGCTTTGGGATCCTAGTTGGGGCAAAGCTATCTGGAAAATAATCTAGTCAAAAGTACAGCGGAAAGGTAAGAAATAACATTATTATTTATTATTATGATTATAATACTGAGCCTCAAACAAAAAGATACCTTGTGCATGTTGTATGCTGTATTTAAAGTACAGTGTGTTTTGGTGTAATGGTACAATTAAATGTACAGTTAAATATATGCCTCCATTCCAAGGCATTTGTTTTGATGAGATGTTTGGCTCTCATTTGCTTCCAGGTAGCAGCTTCAGGAGAGGGATCTTCTATCAGTGGCTATCTCAGCAGATGCAAGCGGGGGAAAAGGCACTGGAAGAAGCTGTGGTTTGTTATCAAAGGCAAAGTGCTCTACACCTATACTGCCAATGAGGTAAGTAAGATCTTTTGGACAACTATTCACAGACTTAAGTTATAAGGTATATAGACCTGTGTATTTGGCACACCAAAAACATCTGGTATTAATCCCCAAAATAATTTGGTTATTAGAAATTTCCAAGACACTATGCACATCTTTGTTGTTATTCCATCGGTAGTGAGATCGGGTACAGGAATCCTGCCAACCTGCATAGTGGAATCCTTTCTCTCTCTCTTCCAGAAAACTTAGATCCTTCCAAACAGACCTCCCTCTAAAGTCCCATTTTCCCCTTCTGCACTGATTTCAGGATAAAGTCGCCACAGAGAGCATGCCTTTGCTGGGTTTCACAATAGCCCCAGAAAAGGATGACAGGAATACGGATGCAGTTTTCCACCTTTACCACAAGCAAACTCTGTTTTATAGCTTCCGAGCAGAGGATAACAATTCAGCACAGAGGTATTGGGTGTTCACCTGCCCGTAATAACATACTAACCACTGAAAAGGTGCTTGCAATGCTTCTCGCTCATCTAATGTGCTCCCTACCTTTCAAAAAGTCTTTGAATGCTGCTGAACAGTCATAACTGCTTTTTGCGTAAACTCTGCTTAGTACCACTCTGATGTATACAACGCAACAAGCATTAACACAGTAATATAATTTGCTTGGCCATGGCAAGACATGTGGGTGGTTTTTGTTGCTCCAAATAAAATAGGGGAGTTTTGTGATGATAAACTGCTGGTGCTGGATTTGCCAATCACATTTTGAAAATAGAGTGTGCCCCATTTTTCACCTGCACAGAATAGATTTTAAAAATATAATAAACACTCTGATTCATTGTATTAATGGAAGCTAATATCAATGTAAGTCTGCATTTGGACTAAGATTTGGATTGGGCCAAAGGCATTTATAAGAAACAGGTCTGCAGTATAGCCCTGTATAAGTGTAGGACTGCAACCTGAAATTTAGTTATATTCATTTGTATGCATATTGGTATCTACAGTAAATGACAGTGGATGGAATGCAAAGTTGGGAGGATATTTGGCTTTCCAGCCTCAGCATAAAAGGCCAATGGTAAAAAAGGTTCATATTCCCACAATCCTCAAATACCACTACTTTTTTTTTAAAAGACCCACAAAGGTTAAGCGTGTCATCATTTTAATAGTGATATGGGTTCAATTAGAAATACGTTATAAAACATAACCATTTATTTTCTTTCTTTCTAGATGGATTGAAGCTATGGAGGAAGCTTCTGTATTATAGCATTATCTAAGAGGACTTTGAACACATTTATATTTGCAACAGCACTCTTCTATTGGAAGAAACAATGTATATATCCCAATACTGGAAGAGACTTTGTACAAGACTTTTTTTTGCTTTTGTCCAGCTTATTTCTTGCAGGTGGAAACTTCTTTTAAAAGGAGTATTTATGGCCCCTTTTCTATCTCTGCAAGTTCATCCTTCATCATACTTCACACCTTTGTAATACAGCTGCATCATATTTTGAAGATCTAGAATCAGTGTTTGTATCCCCCCCCCCCCCCAATGCTTTTTAGTGTACTATCGATTATTTTCTCTCCATCATGAAAATAGTTTCCATTTCTTCTTGCCTACAGAGATCTGGGCTGACATACCATTATTCTGTTTACATTGGTCAGATGAAGTTATGCTGTCCCTGTTTTAGCTGCCACAGCAAATGTTTTTAAAAATAAACCAGTAATGAAATGATAAGAATCCAATATAGTAACTCAACTCTAATTTTCATAAATAACAGCAAGAGTTTACTTTCTTGCCAAGTTCACTAATGCACTGCAAAATCCATTTCTTTTGCTTATGATGATGCCTCAACATCTACCCCAAAGGATATTGATTATAAACCTTGGCATAACCTGTTTGGAACTGATTTGTATATTATTATATTTTAATAGTTGAAAAAATGAGTTTTTTAAAACCTTGCAATTCTAATGACGAAAAATCGTTTCTTAAGTGAAAGCTGGTGTGGTTGGTACCCAACTTCCATTTGACTGTATTGGCCATGGACTGATGTTCTTCGCCAGATGTTCTCAAAAGTTCTTCCAAGAGTCAAGCAATCTGCCACATACTTCAAGTGAGTGACTCAGCGTGTTTGCTTAAACACATCCAGTTGAAAGCCGACGGCAGGTATTCAAGAGCAGTTGGCCCAACTGGGTAAATTTGTCAAGAGTTGAAGCTACAAAACATATATGAGTTTTGACAAAGGCTTTCATGGCCAGAATCACTGGGTTGCTGTAGGTTTTTGGGGTCATTATGTTCCTCCCAGGATACATGTTCTCACAATGTATGAGTGGGGATTAAAAATAATGAAAGTTGGATTATGGGATGGCACATCATCTATGCAAGTCTGGTCTATGCCCCCCCCCCCCCGTTTCTCTCTCTGACTACATCAGGAAAGGACTGAAGATCCATCTCGAAAGTTATGAAGTGTCACAAATCCAGGTAACAGGGCCAGTTGAACCATTTTTTAAAAAGCCCTAATGTTTGTTTAGAAAATCCCCGTACTTTTAATTATTTAAACACGGTTGCCCAGCCAAACATTTGGTGTACTTGTTAGTGCCAGTAAGAATGTACCAAATCAATAGGGATTTACATAAATATTAACTATTGGTGGGCATATGGGCAAATTCCTGTTGTGGTTTCTAGTTTCCTTGGGTATGTATCTAGCCTGGGAAGCGATTTAAAGCTAATATCACTCTTGGAAGTTGGTTTTACACTAAGGGACATTGCTGGCATCAGGATGAACTTGGCGGAGTTTTCCTACCATTGATTTGGATTGACCATTGTGCAGTTTATTTCCTGGTCTAGATCAGTTGGAATTACAACTAATTTCAGACCTAGAAGTCCATTAGCTGAATTTTGACTATTTATTTTATAGAGCAAGTCCTTATCAGGTTTGTGAAAGTTTTTAAAAATAGTACTCTTCTTCCTTTGGAACCATCTTGCCTGAAACATGTTTTATAACCCACTACAGAAAGAAAGAAAAATCCACTAAAGCAGTGACTTTAATGCTCCAATACCGTGCCGCCAATGATTGTTTAAGATAACATGTTCATTACATGTATGCGTTACAGCGTCAATACTACTGCATTGTTAACAGACCTGTAGTGATGGGACTTGCAAGGCCTTTAGGCATAGAAATCTGATGAAGACTCGGACCTCAGTAGCAATGACCCCTTACAGCACCTGAACTCAATAGAATACACTACCTTTCAGTGAAAAAGATTTTCATTTCTTTTTTAAATTATATTTGAAATGTCATATGTACAGTTAAATACATTTGTGAAATAACCTTAGTGTTTATATTGTGTGCCATGTACTGCTAATTAAAGTTCTGACTGGGTTAGATCTACGGTGATGAAATGAAACATTTAGTTTGCTTCCTTTCAACAATATATATGGCTTAGGGAAACATTTTAAACAAACATTACTTTTTAAAAAAACCAACAGATTTTCCATTTGAGGAAACCAAGGTGGTGTGCAAAGATGAAGTATGAAGACACAATTTCCATATTTTCTTACAATTTTCAACATTTATTCATGTTTCAGGTTATAAATTTGGCCTTGGTAAAATCACATAGAAGCAGCAGGAGGGAATAGGCAAAAATGCACTGGTAGGAACAGAGTTTTAAATGCAACAAGAAACTCAATAATGAAAACTGCAATCCTCTTGCCACTTACCTGACAGTAAGCCCCATAATTCAATTAAACTTACAGTAGATGTGTTTAGGACTGCACTGTAAGCGAGGCTTTAAAAGATATGCATTACAAAATAAACACTATAATGATATTTTGGTGCTGGCATTTAATTGCTCTTGTATTAAATTTACAGAAAAACTGACTACTACTCAAAATATTGTTGTAAAATATAATTATTCATTTGTTTTAAGAAACATGAAAGAATAAAAAACAAAACTGTACAAGTTTGTTACTGTTTCTTCTTCGTTTTGGTTTTGGCATCAGTAGTATGCATGTTAGTCCTGTACATATCAAGCCACAGTTATTTTGACAATCACAAGCTCTTTAGGAAAACGCCTTATAATAATAATAATATTTTTTTTAAAAACTTTATTTGTATCCCACCTTCTCTCTCCAACATGGCAACAGGCAAGCATTCAATGCCTATATAAACAAAAAACTATAAAATGTAAACAAAAGACAAACATTGTACAGTAATTTAAAATAAACAGTTGCATTAAATAATTATCATTAAAAGCAATTAAATCTGGAATCCAGGAAGAAGCTAGAATAGTGATTGAGAATGGGAACATATGAGTGCAATTAGGATTTATATAAGACAAAATTGTATATTTCTCAATTAGCCACTTCAGGTTGCAATGCTTCACCTTCTGCAATCACACCTGCTTACTGAGGAAAATAATAGCTTCCTGGCAGTAGTATGAAGGACTTTAATCTAGGCCTTCACAGTCTGCTGCATGTTAGAGATGATCTGTTGCAAGCCATAGAATTCATGTAATGGAAAATGTCAACTCCAAGTAGCGTGGTAGAGGTATAACCATCTCAGAACAGATATTCCAAGAAAGTCTCATGATAGGGTCACCATAAATCAGAAACAACTTGAAGGCATGCACAAAAACAAAAAATCAATGTTAAGGCACATGAACATTGCTTAAAAGTGTTGGTTTTAAACAAAACCAATGTTACTGTGTTAATGTCTGCCTTTGTGGTTTGAGCTCTGCATACCTAATGGAAATTCCATACCATGTCTAAGCCTTATGTTGAATTCCCCTCTGTGTTACAACTGACTCATGGGTTAAAAAGATTCCTGTGAGAAACGGGAATTCAAAGTTTATCTAAAGCAGGTGTGGGCAAAGGATGGCCCTCTAGATGCGGCACTCTTTATCACTGGCTGTCTAGGCTAGTTAGTGCTACTGGGATTTATAGTACAACTAGAAGGTTTCACTTTGCCCACTGGTGATTTAGAGGTTGTTCTACAAAATATCCATCTGGATGTTCCTTCTAAAGGTCAGGAAGTCACATGTTTAGTTTTGTTTTTCCTGATTTTATTTTGGAGATCCAAGCGTATTTTGTTTATCACAGAATATTTTGCTAGTTCCCTATACAGTTCCCTTGGTTTATTTTAATCTAGGATAACTACAGAAAAAAGAAAAAGAAAATCTGAAACTTCAGTTTTGTGTGCTCTTTGATAGTATGGAAATTTCAAAAGGTCATTGCCTCATAGAGATATGCCCCATTGCAACCACTTGCCTTAATATATATTGAAACTCTGCTAAAGCACAGTTCATAGTTTGGCCGCAACTTCTGCAATTGACAAACAACTCCACCAAGATAGCTGTGACTATTGCTCTGAAAGTACCGCAGATTTCCATCCTTACGAGGGCTTTAAAAGCTCTTAAATCAGCGCACACACACACACAACTGGAAGCAGCACAATGAAATCACAGGCATCCCTCCCCTCCCCATTTATTTTGATTTTGCTCAAACATGGCAAACAAAAATTGTTTACATTTTTAATATTTTTGGCATTATTTCAATATATATTATATATGCATAAATGATGATTGGTCAAAATTTTGAAACCTGACAATTTCAAAACACAATCAATTAAAGTGTAGTGCCATCTTAAATACTAAGAACTCTATTGTGATGTAATTGTTCATGGACTAGAGCTGCTCACGTTGTTGTTTATTTGTTCAGTCACTTCTGACTCTTTGTGACCTCATGGACAAGCCCATGCCAGAGCTCCCTGTCAGCCGTGGTCACCCCCAGCTCCTTCAGAGTCGAGCCTTAGGTTAGTTCAATATAAATACATTCATGTTCACAGCAATATATCTAGCCATGTGTACAGAGACAACATAAATGTAACAGCAGAACACAATTCAGACCATAAGGCCAAATCAAAACTTGTGATGGGACTAGCAAACTGGCCTTTCTCTACACATCCCTCTGCAAACCTCTATCAACAAAACCACCTTTGTTCTGGAGGAGCTCTCCAAGCTGGTCTAACAAGAGAAGATAAAAATGCAATGAGTGTCTGCATATGACAGTAGTCCATCATTGACTCCAAATGTCAGCCCAGGTAGATGTGGTCAATAATGTTTATTATCATCTTCGGCCAATCCGCCAGCTGCAGCCCTTCCTAGACTTGGAGGACCTGAAGACGGTAGTGCATGTGCTGATAATTTCAAGATTGGACTTCTGCAATTGACAAACCTCAGTACCAAGTTCAAAAACTCCAGCTGGTTCAAAACATGACAGCCAGATTGGTTACAGGAACATCCATAAGTGAACATATTACACCTATACTCAAGTCACTCCACTGGCTGCCAATAAGTTTCCAGGCAAAGTACAAAGTGTTGGTTTTGAGTTTTAAAGCTCTAGATGGTTCAGGTCCAGGTTACCTTCAGGGTGGCCCTATCCTATACAATCTGGGATTGCATTTTATTAGCATTAGTGGTTTAATTTTGTTCTATGTATTTTAATTGTATTGTGTTTTAACTATGCTGTACCCCGCTTTGAGCTGCAAGAAGTATCCACAAATAAAATATAGCATTATAGGGAAAATCTTTCCATATATGTATTTTAACAGTATTCTATTCTAGTAGTGTGTTTTAACTAATATATTGTACTCTGCCTCAAGTTGTGAGGAGATACGGGTATCCAACAAAATGCATTATTGTTATTATTATTATTATTATTATTATTATTATTATTATTATTATAGGAAAAAAACCTTTAGAGCAGCCCTGCTCCCTCCTGACCTTCAGAAGAAAAGTGAAAACCTGGTTTTGGGATCAAGCCTTTGGAGATCAACTATAGTGCAATAACAGCTATGGAATATGTGCAATGATTGTTGGAACGGCCCCAGATTACGATTGTGGATTATGTGATTTTAATAGTGAATACAATGTTTTTATATGTGCATTAATTTCAATTTTAAATTTTAACTTAAATGTATTTTAACTGTATGTTGTCCAAAGGCAATGAAAATGTGTAAAGCCACCCTGAGTCCTCTTCAGGGTAGGGAAAGGCAGGACATAAATAGGATAAATAAATAAAATAAATTTAATATATGCATTTTGTTTTAGTAGTGTGTTTTAACTATGACATATCCCCACCTAGAGCTCTAAGGAGAGGTTGGTAACGGATACATTTTATTTGTATATTATGTGACAAAATCATTTAAGTATTTAATGACACTTTAACAGCATGTTGTTCCTTGCATCAAGCTCCGAGAAGAGGCGGGGAACAAATACAATTTATTATGTGAAAAATCCTTTAATAAAGTGTTTCAATGGTATTGTGTTTTAGTGGTGTGTTTGAACTATGTTGTACCCCACCTTGGACCATGAATGATGTTATTACTACTACTACTACTACTACTACTACTACTACTACTACTTTTGGGACAAAATCCTTTAATGCATATGTTTCAATGGTATTGTGTTTTAGAAGTATCTTTTAATTATGTTGTTCCCTGCCATGAACCATGAAGAGAGGCAGGTAACATTATATTACTTGCTTAGGCGATCCCTCATAGTCTGAGGATGATGATCCTCCAAGCGTAGTATCTTGGCGGTGGGTCTATAGAGCCCTATTCTTGAGCCACATATTTTCCCACAGTCCCAGTCAGGGATGGCTTGACAAGCTTTCCTCTTAGCATGCTTATCACTTTCACCCTTCATTTGTGCCTCTTCGAATTTCGAGCACTGCTGGTCGCAGCTGACCAGTTAGAGCGATCAAGGGCCAGGGCTTCCCAGTTCTCGGTGTCTATGCCAGTTTTTAAGGTTGGCTTTAAGCCCATATTTAAATCTCTTTTCCTGTCCACCAACATTACATTTCCTGTTCTTGAGTTCTGGTGATTCATAGTGGTAAGGCAGAAGAACCGAAGAAAGGGGGCACCGTCTGGGTCCGCTACATAGTAACTGCTTTGGGAGACAGTGATCAGTCATTCGGACACCATGGCCAATCCAGCGGAGTTGATGGGGTAGGAGCATTTCTTCAATGCTGATGGTCTTTGCTTCTTCCAGCATGCTGTCTTCCCAAGAGAATTGCAAGATTTTTTGGAGGCAACGCTGATGGTATCACTCCAGGAGTTGAGTGTGATATCTATATAAACTCCACATTTCACAGGCGTATAGCAGGGTTGGGAGAACAACAGCGTTATAAACAAGCACCTTGGTCTCCCTATGGATGTCCCGATCCTCAAACACTGTTTCATTCAGAAAAATGCTGCACTTGCAGAGCTCAGGCAGTGTTGCATTTCAGTGTCAATGCTGACTTTAGTGGAGAGGTGGTTGCCAAGGTAGCGGGAATGGTCAACGTTTTCTAATGTTACATATTAAGCTGTAGTTTTGGCAATAATATAATGCATTTCTGGCATTATATTCAACTGCATCTCCTACCATAAATCTGCACAATCTCTTCAAACCTCTGGGGAGGCCCTCCTTTCACCCCCCCCCCTTTATCACAAGTACTTGTGAGGACGAGAGAGCCTTCTCTGCTGTGGCCCCTCAGCTTTGGAACTCGCTATCTAGTGAGATTAAGCAAGCCCCTACGGTAGCAGCTTTTAAGAAAGACCTAATAACTTGGCCCTTCCGATGTGCCCTTGGGGAGTGAACATATATTCCTTATTTTGTCTGTTCCAACTACAGTTCCGTCTTCATGACGCACTTTCCCCCCCGCCCTCAATGAAGGTCTGTTTGCCCCCTTTAAGAGCTGACCTCAGAAATACATTCTCCCACTACTTATCTCATCCAGTGCATTTGGCCCGCCCATTGTGTTGTATTTCTCTATCATGTTATTTAGAAACTATTTTATTTTGTTACTTCATATATTTTATTTTCGTATTATTTTTGCTTCTTTGTATTTCATACTGCTGTACTGTAACTTTGGGCTTGGCCTCATGTTAGCCGCCCCAAGTCCCCTTTGGGGAGATGGTAGGTTGTTTTCTCTTGAAGTTAAGTCCAGTTGTGCCCGACTCTGGGGGTTGATGCTCATCTCCATTTCTAAGCCAAAGTTGTCCGTAGACATCTCCAAGGTCATGTGGCCAGCATGACTGCATGGAGTGCCATTACCTTCCTGCTTGAGTGGTACCTATTGATCTATTCACATTTGCATGTTTTTGAACTGCTAGACTGGCAGAAACTGGGGCTAACTGCGGGAGCTCATGCCTGGATTCAAACCTGTGACCTTTTGCTCAGCAATTTCAGCAGCTCAGTGCTTTAATCCACTGCGCTACCGGGGGGCTCCATGTGTGGATGGTGGCGGGGTACAAATAAAGTTTATTATATCATTATTACTATTTTTGAGATGAAATATTTTAACACGTATATTTCAATGGTATTTAGCTTTAGCAGTATCTTTTAATTATGTTGTGCCCTGTCTTGAACCATGAAATTAGATCTGCTGCATCCTTCTTGACCTTCCGGAAACAAGTAAAATCCTGGCTATGGCCTTTGGAGAATAGGCTGACCTACTGACGTGTTGACTTATTTAGAACTGATGGACTGCCCTTGGATAATTATTCGTATCGGTGACCACTGACTATTTGTTGTCTGTTTTTATATTGTTTATATGGTTTTATACTGTTTAATATTGTTGTTATTATTACATTGCTGTTAATTGTATATTTATATTTTGGTGTGGGCGCCATGGGGTGAAACTTTGTTAGCCGTCCTGAGTCCCTCTGCGGAGGTTGAGAAAGGATGGGATATAAAAGCCCTAAATAAATAAATGGGCAGGTAGACAGATTATTATCTGTCTAATCGCTCTAATCTGTCTTAAACAGAGGCTGGATGGCCATCTGTCAGGGGTGATTTGAATGCAATATTCCTGCTTCTTGGCAGGGGGTTGGACTGGATGGCCCATGAGGTCTCTTCCAACTCTTTGATTCTATACACACACACGCACACACACACACTAATACTATTAGATGTATTTTTCCCCTGGAGTGTGGTGGAGGCTCCTTCTTTGGAAGCTTTTAAACAGAGGCTGGATGGCCATCTGTCAGGGGTGATTTGAATGCAATATTCCTGTTTCTTGGCAGGGGGTTGGACTGGATGGCCCATGAGGTCTCTTCCAACTCTTTGATTCTATATTTTTATTATTATTAATAATAATAATGTTTGGGGACAAAATGCTTAAATGCAGGTATTTTAATGCTACTGTGTTTTAGGAGTGTCTTATTAACTATGAACTGTGAGGAGGTACGAATAACAAAATGTATTACTTACTATTGTTGGGGGGGAAGCCATAGCAAGGAAGAGGCTCCTGCTTTTGGCGCGTGGCTTCTATCTATCTCCCTCCCTCCTTCCCTCGCGCCCTGCCTGCGTGCTTGCCTCGCGCCTCCAACAGTCGTTCCCCGCGCGCGCGCCCCCGAGGCTGCCCCAGGTAGCCCCTCCCTCGCTCCCTTCTCCCCCTCCCGCGGCTCGAGCCCCGCCTCGTTAGGCGGAGTGGGGGGGGAAGGGAGGGGGGCGGCGGAGGGAGGGAGGCGGGGTGAGGCGGCGAAGAGGAAGCGGGGGGAGGCTCCCGGGCGGCGGCCTCGCTCGGCTCCAGCGAACAGCAGCGCCAGGCGGGGTCACGAACCCTGACCTTTCAACCGGCGCCCGCTCACCTTCCACCCCAAACAAAAACACCCGTCGCCATTCTCCCCTCCCCCGCTCCCCCCGCCCGTTAACCCCCTCCGCGCCAACAGGCCCGGCCAGACCGTGACGACGACGCCCGCCGCCTCCTCCTTCGGGTGCCAAAGCTGAGGTAACCCATATGCGGGAGGGAGTGGGCCCGTCCTCCTCTCCGCCTGGCCGTCGGGGGTTGCGTCGGGGGAAGCGGCCTGGTTGGAGGGAGGGAGGTTGCTTGGCGGCGAGAGAAGAGCAGCCGCGAGAGAGCGAGCGAGCGAGTCAGGGCGGAAGGAAGATGGAGTCTGGGCGGGCGGAGGCAGTGGCTTGAACCCGACCCTTTTACCTTTGCCACCGGGAGGGCGGAGGGGAGGGGGCGGCGGGTGTTTTGCATACGGGGCGGCAGCGCCAACCAGCCCGCCGCCATCTTAGAGGACGCTTTCCGCGCTCGCAGGGCGGCGGCAACGGCCTACGCTTTGGAGCCCAGGGAGGGAGGGAGCACGCCGGGCCGAAAGGGACGCGCAAGCCGGGCAGGGCGGGGAGGGAAATGGCGGCGCTGCCCGGCTTGGCGGCCTGCCAGCGGCGCCATCTTAGCACCGCCGCCCCACTCGCCTCTCTCCACAGCGCCCCCGCCCCGCCCCCCCGCGCAAGCGAGGCGGGACCCAGGGCGGCCCTCTCCGCCAATCCACGCCTGGCTGCTGGCGGGGCGGGGTTTGTTGTCTCTGTGAGAAGAGCTGATTGGTGGAGTCGTAAGAATGCGGGAAAGACTTGTGGCGGTGTGCGAATAAAACTGGCGAACAGAAGCTCCCATAGAATCATAGAGTTGGAAGAGACCACATGGGCCATCCAATCCAACCCCCTGCCAAGAAGCAGGAATATTGCATTCAAAGCACCCCTGACAGATGGCCATCCAGCCTCTGTTTAAAAGCCTCCAAAGAAGGAGCCTCCACCACACTCCGGGACAGAGAGTTCCACTGCTGAACGGCTCCCACAGTCAGGAAGTTATAATAATAACACTTTATTTGTACCCCACTACCATCTCCAAAAGGGACTCGGTGCGGCTTACATGAGGCCGAGCCCGAATATAACAATACAAGCAAAACAACAACAGTACAAGCAATTAAAATAAAACATAGACAATAAAATATACAACATTATCAATAAGACAACACGCAAATTCTTCCTCATGTTCAGATGGAATCTCCTTTCTTGTAGTTTGAAGCCATTGTTCCTCGTCCTAGTCTCCAGGGAAGCAGAAAATATGCTTGCTCCCTCCTCCCTGTGACTTCCTCTCACATATTTATACATGGCTATCGTATCTCCTCTCAGCCTTCTCTTCTTCAAGCTAAATATGCCCAGCTCCTCATAGGGCAGTGATGGGCAACCTTTTGAGCTTGATGTGTCAAAATTTGCCAAAAACCTAAGCATAACTTGGGTGGAGTGTCACTTTGAGGAAAAAAACCCCCATCATTTTGCAATATTTATAGTTTAAATAAGAAAAATGTATAATCCATGCTGAATTATGGAGTGAACAATGCTCAAACGTGCAGATGTTAAATTTGTAGAGCTTTTTACAAATTTAAGGATGGAATTCGATTGGCTCTTACAAGGTGTATTTCTCTGTATGTGGCCGCATGTGTCTGCGTGTCATCAAAAATAGCCATGGGTGTCAGTGCTGACACGCGTGTCATAGGTTCACCATCATGGTCATAGGGCTTGTACTTCAGACCCTTGGTCATTTTAGTCACCCTCCTGGACACATTCCAGCTTGTCACCATCTCTCTTCAATTGTGGTGCCTAGAATTGGACACAATATTCCAGGTGTGGTCTAACCCGTCAGTTTCTTGTGATGCTTTGTCAGGCATTGGCAAACTTCAGCCCTCCAGGTGTTTTGGACTTCAACTCCCACCATTCCTAACAGCCCGCTAGGATTTGAGAACACAGAAATGCTGGGCCACTCTAACAACTACTATGTCAGACTACACAGAGAAGCCATTGAAATCCACAAGCATGTGGACAGTTTCAACAGAAAAGAGGAAACTATGAAAATGAACAAAATCTGGCTACTTAAAAAACCCTCTAAAAATTAAGAGCAACACTCAAAAAACGGGAATTTCAGACATGAAACAATCAGGGCCAGGTAATCACCTCCCAACAAAGGATTCCTCCAGGCAGGAAGCAGCCAAGCCTTGAAGCTGCCAGGCTTGTCTGTTCGAAGCAGGTGTGAAGTTTGCAATTGGCAGCTTGATAAACATTAAATAGCCTGGCAGATTCCCCCAGGCAGGAAGCAGCCAGGCTTTGAATCTGCCAGGCTACTCAGTGCTAATCAAGGTAGCTAATTGCAGCATTCACAAACAAGAGTTCTTTCTCCCATCCTGAGCATCCCACAGATACATAAACTCCACTTGCCTTGTTTCCAACAAACCTTACAACCTCTAAGGATGCCTGCCGTAGATGTGGATGAAACATCAGGAGAGAATGCTTCTGGAACATGGCCATACAGCCGGGAAAACTCAAGCTTTATAATATTGATTCTTGAACTATTATGTCAGTGGTCTCAAGAATGAATGGGGGGGGGGGGCTTGGATAGCGGGTGGAGTAAGAGTTCATTGGAAATACATGTTCAGTTACCCTTCCTCCTGCATAGGTCTAACATCCAGTGTGAGCTGAAGGAACTGATCATTATTTCCTTTACTCGTCTAGGCTTTTGTTCTGGGTGATGAAAAATCAGGGATAGAACCCATGCTCTCCAAAGTAATATCTAATTTCAGGCTTGCTCTGGATAATGAGCTGGACATAATCCTTGTTGTAGGAGGAAATGTTAGCAAAAGGAGAGGTAGACGATTTCTCCTGTCTACAGTTTTCTCATTCTCTTGGTCTGTGTGAACAGTGCAATAGGGAAAATTTGCCCTAATTTGCTGCAGTAAGTGCTAGATTGCTTGTTCACACTGGAAAATCCCATAGAACCTCTTAACTGAGGATGTATGAGAGAGAAAAACCATTTGCCTTTTCTTCATGCACTGTTTTCACAGGGAAAGCAAACTACAGACAGTTCATGAGTTATAGGCATCTTAGTTAAGAACGGGGGTGAGACATCAGGAAGTGAGAGGAAATCCACCCCTAGGAAGGGAAATTCAGTCTTGTAAGATTTATCATGGGGACAAGGGATTCTCCCTGATGCTTTCTCGCCAATCCTTGTTTCCATGACAACCCATTTTTTTCAAAATCCAATTGTCACAGGGACAGAGAGTGAGGTGAAATCTTTTGGAGTGTTAACCCTTCCATATGCTATCCATAACTTTTTTTAAAAATTGTTGGAGTTACATTTAAAGATTGTACCTGTTCTGACTTACATGCAAGTTCAACTTAAAAAAAAAGTAACAGAACCTATCTTGTTTGTAAACGGGATTGCCTGTAATGAATGGGCATGAGGAACAGTTAGCTGGTTGTGCCCAGTTGTTCCATCCCTTGTGAATATGGGCAGACTTATTGTTTAAGCATCTTCATCCAGAAATGCTTTACAGAATACTCTCGAACAGGCTTGCACAACATAATGCTCATGGCCTGGATGCGGCCCGCAAAGAGCTTCCTTGTGTCCTGTGGGAGGGGCTGGGTTTCCCCTTACATTTTGCAGTTACAATATTCTGAAGCTGCAAGAATGTCTTGAATTGGGTGTTTCCTAGGTGGAATAAAGTATAGAACTTATTCTTTCCTTTTCCACTGAGTTCTCTATAGAGCAGTGGATTTTATCGAAAGACAGGGCCTCAGTATAAGGCCTGACATAATTATACACATCACAGTGTGTGAGGAACTGATGAAGGGGGAGAAAAGATTCTGTTGGTCAACTTGTAACTGCATTTATGGAATCTTATACTTGTTGTACTAAACAAATACAGTGTTTTTGTATTATAAAAAGAACACTTATTTGATTGTAATATAGGATCACCATTTTCTATAAAATATTTGAGACACAGCATTGTACTGGTATAGAGCTGTATTTTTATTCTTGGTAATAAAAACGAAAAAGATCAAACTTTTTGTGCCTGATAGATGTTATTGGCATCCTTCCAAACAGGTTCTCTAATGATCTTCCTTCACCATGACAACCAGTATGGAGGTGCTGGCTCAGCAGATAGTGGAGACACAGCAGGTGGGTGAGGTGAGTGATGGATGATATTTTAGTAGCTCTTGGTTTTTAAGAGGAAAATATAATTGGCAATTGTTTGCAACCAGTTGCTGCTGAAGTGGAAATTATTCATAATAAGCTGACTATTGTACTTGAAAATGTAAAACTGTTTTCCATGTTTTATACTGAACTTACTTGTTTCTTAATAACCACATGTCTACTAGGAGACTCGTAGTCTACGTCCTTTAATGATGGCATTTGATAAATGTTGTTTGGAAAAAAGTGAGGCCACATTTAATCATTCATACCTCCACATTTTTACTAGATGGTTGGGTGATCCTTCTACCACAGTAGTTCTCGCCCTGGGGTCCCCAGATGTTTTTGGCCTACAACTCCCAGAAATCCCAGCCAGTTTACCAGCTGTTAGGATTTCTGGGAGTTGAAGGTAAAAAACATAATAGGGACCCCAGGTTGAGAACCACTGATCTAGCACTTAGCAGCCTCAGACTTATTTCTAACAGAATTTTCTGGTGATTTTAGGTCCCAGACATAGAACTCTAGAAGGAGGTATTCACTGTCTATTGTAAGATGAGGGACATCTCAATATTTTCCAGATTGTAATAATTTCATACCCAGGGACTGGGGAATATTTAAAATGTACTTAATTTTGTGACTTATTTCTAACCACTAGCACTCCAAGTAACATGCTAATACTGCAAATAAATATTTGTAAAACTCATTGGTTTCGTGTTAGTTCTTATTTTCTTTCTTGTGGGGGAGAGATACTCTGAAAAGCTAAAAAATAATATAAAATATGAATAATATCCTCAAAATGCCCAAATAATCTGTTTTTATTCTAGAAAATGTAAGGGGTAAATATTATTCATTACTCTCAAAAGTGACTGTTGTCTGGATGACAGTACATTGCTGGAAACATAATATTAGAACTTGCAGTTAAATGTTGGTATAGCTTGTGATGAACCTTCAGTTCTTCTTTGTGGTTTCTGCTCAGTGCATCATTTGGATAATTCTAGGTTCTTATAATAGTTTTTTAGCAGAAGCACTCTTATATAGCACTCTTGCTGCCTATACTCCCAGTTCCTTTTCTTCCTCTGCTGCTACAACATCACTAAAGGAATGTTTCAGATTGACTTTTCAAGTTTCGATTTATGGTTTGGCTCATGTTTGATTTTCCCTTTCTGCTCTGTATGATTGGGTTTGATTTTCCCCATTCACTTCCAGTTCTTTTATGGACTCCTCAGGAAAAATGAGCAGTAACCTCTTACACTGCATCATTTTCTAGAACAGTGGTTCTCAACCTGTGGGTCCCCAGATGTTTTGGCCTTCAACTCCCAGAAATCCTAACAGCTGGTAAACTGGCTGGGATTTCTGGGAGTTATAGGCCAAAAACATCTGGGGACCCCAGGTTGAGAACCACTGTTCTAGAAGCCTGTGAAGCCATCCATAGAAACAGCTGAATGCAATCCAATTGCCCCACAATAATGCACAAGGCCAGGCTTTTTGGCAACACCAAAGGTTCTTACACAAATGGAATGGTCAGTTGTTGTTATTAATAATAATAAAGCATTTTTCTTTTCTTTTTAAAATATTTTTTTCTGGAAAAAGAGGAAATGTTTTTTCTAGGCTTTTTCCTGGAAATATAATGGCAGACATAGCAATGTTTTTTTTTAAACAACAATATCTAATGATGTTTCTTTAAGGTAAACAAAGAAAAAGCTGTGTTAGTCTGGATTGTTGTGCAGTGGGATCTTTTGAGACTGAGTGCACATCTACACTGATCCCTTAATCTGGCGTAGAACACACATAGAAGGAAGAAACATCACTGTGTTAATTATTACATTGCAAGCCCTGGAATTGTTTTGAGGGTCAGATGGTACTTAAACACATAGCAGAGCCCGGCCTCGGACTGGTCCAGAACCCATGGAACTTAGACCTTACAGCCATGGGAAATGTTTTTTCAATTTCCCTCTCCAGATTGCACATGTGCAGGTCAACAGAGTGCTTCAGATGTCCACACAGCAATTCGCATTATGCAGAATCACTTTTGCCGTTACACTGAAGTACACTGGTTTGTTTTAAGGCCTCCGTTCAGGATACACCCTGATTTTTCTTAGCCTAGGGTTAAACATCTTAAAGCATGCTGCAGCACACATTTGCAGCATGTGTTGTATAACTACCACAGCTATCAAGCTGTCTTCAAATTTCATTAAATGATTAGTATAGATTTGTCCTGAGAAAAAGAAGTTGGTTGGTTGCACAAGTTTTTGAGAGTTGAGTGTACATCAGATTCCCACTGGAGGAGTTCCACTGGAGCAATGCAGCATACCATAATACCTTGGAGTCAATTTGGACCTAGTTCTGACTTATAAGAAGCACTGCTTGAATATCAAGCAAAAAGTGGGTGCTAGAAATCATATGAAAGCTGACTGGCACAAGCTGGGGATCACAACCAGACACAGTGAAGACATCTGCCCTTGCACTTTGCTACTCAGCTTCTGAATATGCGTGCCCACTGTGGAAAACATCTCATCACATCAAAACAGTGGATGTGGCTCTTAATGAGACATGCCGCATTATCACAGGATATCTATGTCCCACATTACTGGAGACGATTTACATTGCAGAAATTATACAGGATAAAACACATACATACAAATATTAAAATAAACAGAATAGTGGACGACCTGGAAGGCGCCGAACAGGCTGCACTCTGGCACCACAAGATGCAGAGCTAACCTTTAGAAATGGGGCTACAGAGTGGAGTCCACGGCATGCAAGTGCGGAGAAGAGCAAAACACAGACGACCTACTACAATGCAGTCTGAGCCTTGCCACATGCACAATGGAGGACCTTCTAACGGCGACACCAGAGGAACTTCAAGCTTCTGATCAAAAGACATTTAATAAAATGCCAAGTTCTTTTTAAAAATTTTGTGTTTTTAAATGCATTTTAAATGTATCTGCTTCTGATACAATAAATACGTCACCAGATGCACGTAGGTCTATGACAGCTTATGCTACCAACTTGTTTCTCTCAATCTCAGAGATGCTATAAGATCTCTTTGCCTTAAAGTAAACAAGTCATACTAATGTCATAGCTTTTGTGGAGGGTGATTTTTGCATCCATTTTAAAAGTGTACTGTTTAACGTTAAAAAAAGTAATTGAAAAGCAAAGCATTAGTAATGTGGCACTCATTTATACAATGTGTAAACTTAATAAGATGCTTATTAAAAATAGCTGTACAGGTTTTGTGCAATGTTACTGCTAGGCCACCTGCCTTGACTAATATCGTCTTTGTTGCTTTCTTAGCTTTTGTATGACATTCATCATACCCATGATTAGATCTTCGTTTTTTAAAAAAACTACAACAGTAGCATTTTATGACATGTTTTCCTAGCAGCTAAGTAAATGATCTCTGATTATATACGTTTTCCATTTATTGCTAAATATTTCTTGAATGAACTAAATGAGTCAACTCCTTTTTTCTGTTGGAATTTCTGAACATGCTAATGGAAAACAGACCAAAAGGATTAGCCTGATACCCCCAACATCCTGCATTGTAATCTTCTTAGTAGTTTTCCTTGCCACAAATCTAGCAGCATGAACATTTGGGTTGTTGCCCCATATAGAACACAATAGTTTTCCCATGTGTGTCTTATAACTAAGGAGTCTTCATGTTTTTGCTTTTTATGTGTAGCACAAGCTACCTATAAGTTATACTTGCCATATGCTCCTTCCTCCCACCCCCTGCATTATATCAATGAGATTTGTCTGATTCTTTGGTTATCTAGGGTTATCCAGGGTTAAAATTTCAAGTCAGACTGAACCTTTTTCTGAATATGCCGTCAAACAGTGCTTCTCATGCTATCTAGTGTGAAGGACAGACATTTTTCTTCCCAGTGTGACATCATATTTGTGTCCATTGGCTACAGCCATTTCTTTCTTTCCTAGAAATTTCCCATAGACTGGCAGCCAGTAGCTCAAGGACTAAGCACTGTTCTGGGGATCATCATTTTGAGTAGCACTAATATAAACCCCAAGAGAGAGTTGATACTTGAATTGGCGAGGTAAAATACTTCCCCCTCCACAATCTTGCAGGGCACTCAGAGGAGCAAACACTAGACATTGATGCATACTGACTATTTGTGACAATGGATTCAGAGCTCACAAGATATACTCGTTTGGAATAGAAGCTCCCAGAATTAATCAGCAAGTTGGGATATCAAGATGCCGACTGTGAATTTTGGGGAACTGCAAAGATAAAAGGTGTTCCTTAGAAACCAAGTGGTTTCCTTTTAGTGGTCTGAAAATTATTCAAGGGCAAGATAAATGATTTTCTCATGATTTTTGCTACATTGTAGTTTATTGCACTGTTTAGAATATTCTTCCTGTGACTCTTACCATCACAAACATTACATTTTTAACTCAGCTGACATGGTGGTTCAAAATAATAGAGGTGGCAGATTCTCAGGTAACACTGGGCATCAGTTGAACATGGGGAGGTGGCAGAATTTGGTTCAAAAGTTGCATTTTGTTTGGAAAGAGTAGTATAAACAAGCAACTATTATACTAATTGTGAACGCAGTTTGATAAGGTATTTAATATCAAGTCAGGTGGTATTGTGGTTTTTTTGCTTTGAATATTTTTATATGGATTTTAACTGAATATTTAATACCATTGATGTTTAATAAACATGATGACGACAACAACAAAAACATCTACTTCTAAAATATTGTAGTTCAGCACTGGAATGTTGATAGCGAATAGCCTATTAATGTTAATCCCTTTTCTAGGCAGAGATAGCCTACAGTCGTCTGTACATTTATGCAACAACAATTTGATTTAAGTATTTTAATGTCACAAAATTTATTGTTGATTTGAGCATTTTAATTTAGATCAGCATGGTTGAAGTTTTCTCTGATTTCTTTGAAATGTTGCTATATTAGTTAACAAGATATTTGGTTTCATTTCCCAGAGAATTAAAATGGTGGCTTACATGTCATAAAATTAATTTATACTTCTTATTGTTAGAAATATAATTGATTACACTATATCATATTTGAGGGTTGTGCATGAAAGAAGTGGGGCCCGTCGTTCTTTTAGCGGAGGAGGAATGGTTCAGTGGTATTTGGTTATTGAACTGCAAAGATAAAAAGGGTGTTCCATAGAAACCAAGTGGTTTCCTTTTACTGGTCTGAAAATTATTCAAGAGCTAGATAAATGATTTTCTCATGATTTTTGCTACATTGTAGTTTATTGCACCGTTTATAGTTGGGTGCAGCAGATACAAAAGAGAAAAGCTTTGTAACCTGGGTGCATCTTCGCCAATGAAATTAATTGTATTATTAGACAAACTGCTTCAGCAGCTGGCAAAACAGCAGGAACACGTCAATTCTGCTTCCTTGGTTACAGGGAGTGATAGTGTACTTGACCTTCAGAGGAACAGGGTCAAAGAGAGGGCATTTTAAAACAATTCTGTCTGGTTTTGTGATTGGAATTTTTATAAGTGGCATTCGGATACAAGCCTTTGGACTAGACTAAAACTGACCTCTTCGTTTTTCTTGGATTATTTTGGCCAAAGATCTTTGCTGAGGAAAAATGTAAATAAAGCTGCAGAAGGATTTGACACTGTAAGTACTAGAGTCTGCTGTACAGTCTCAAGCTGGAAGCTCCAGGAAGCAAATAATTCAGAGGTTATTGAAGATGAGATTTTAATATATATTATATTTCTGTGGCATATAGAGTCATAGCACTTTGCTTAAGGATCATTTGAATAATGTGTATTTAGTTAATCTAATTTCATAGCAATTTTAGTTAAGAATAGATTATTAATATTCTGAATTAAGTAGATTTTAAATTGGGAATATTGTAATTTCTCACTAGAGGCCATTTATTATCTGCACACTGATTTCTAATTGCAGTTTTAAGTATAATTAGCAGTACTTGATCTTTTAAAAATATATTCATTTCTTCACAGTGAGCAATATTTGCTAATAGGATTTTATTTCACATCTTATAGCAACCTTTATAACAAATGCAGTAAGCATTAGTTTCCATTTGCTGATATGCTTTGATATACTGTCTTTTGTTCCGCAAACAAAGAATAATTACTAGTTATAATTGCATTGTTTAAAAATAATCTGGATACCAAGTGAATGCTATCTCTCTATTGCCAAATGTGTAAAGTATCCTTTTCTTTAACCTCAGTAAAGGTGAGATACAAAGACAAACTAATAAGTGCTAGAATATTTATAAAATTATACTGACATAAAATAACAGCAAAATATTTAGAATATATATGTTATATCATTAGAGTTAAATATGCAAATTAAAACCATTTGTAACTAATTATTGTGTAATGGTTTGTTTTAGATTTTTCAGGCTGTGTAATGTACAATCTGTTGTTATTTTCTGTGCTTCAAATCAGTTTTCAAAAGACAAAGTTATCTGAATAGAACTATTTGCACAGTGCTTTTTAACTTTAGTATACTTCCTTCCCTTCTGGATTGTAATAGAATTCTAGTGTGTCTCATATGATATATTGTGCTTATTCGTGCAGCAGTTTGGTCCAGTTTAATTTAGAGATGTGTAGGTAGTGCATATTTGCAGATACGTTGTGTGCACTCTTTAATGATTTTTGATATATTGTAGTTTATATATGTCACTGTTAGATACCTTATGTTTCTTTTTCTACTCACTGTTATTTTTCATTTTTCATTAGAACCCTAAGATTCTAACTGGAAATAGTACAATATTGCAGTGTAGATGAAAGGGGATATGCTAAGAATTTTAAAATGGTATCATTTTAAGTGGGATTGAGGTGGGTTCAGGGTTTTATGTAGTAGTTTTTGTAACAGGGGTGAGTATGGGATAGCACTATTTTTTCTTATTACGCTTTACTGTGCTTTGTGGTGGTGTTAGGTGTATTCTATATTTCATTAATGTATGTGTTTATGCATGAAATATATTTTATAATATATATTTAAAAGAAACTGAGAACACATGCACAGGCCAAGAATTTGTGATTGGTATCGGCACTGACCACTTTTTTGGATGCATACCTTATGAAGGTTAGTAAATTTTGATGTATCAGAGAGAATAAGATTAATCCCATCAGGAGGCTAGACTAGACTCTGTTAAGTTGCTGAGACTCCTAGTAAGAACAGTAATGTTCAAAATAGAGACAAGGAGCTAGGATGCATCCTGCTTCTTCAGGAAACAACAGCCCCATCAGCAGAATAGACTTTATAATTCCAATGGTGATGGTCATTGAGAAGTTTTACAAGAGGAGCTTACTGAATAGTAGCAGTAGTGGGGAGTCCCAGTGGAAGAGGATCTGGGTTGTTGTAGGTTTTTGGGGGCTATATGGCCATGTTCTAGAGGCATTCTCTCCCGACGTTTCGCCTGCATCTATGGCAAGCATCCTCAGAGGTAGTGAGGTCCTCACTACCTCTGAGAATGCTTGCCATAGATGCAGGCGAAATGTCGGGAGAGAATGCCTCTAGAACATGGCCATTTAGCCCAAAAAAACCTACAACAACCCAGTGATTCCGGCCATGAAAGCCTTCGGAAGAGGATCTGTTAGAGAAAACAACAGTAGTGCTTTTGCTAACTATTAGTAGTTCTGCACAGAAGATAGCACTGATAGAAATGTGCACATAACATTAGGACATTTTATCATATGTGGTGGTGTTGTGGAAAGGCCCAGGAATACTGGACTCAAAAACATTTGATGCTGGAAAAAAAATTATGGTTAAATTCAAGATGACATCGGAGTTTTATCTGTTGGGAATGCTGAAAAAACATTTTTTAGAAAAAAATGTGAAATTATTACAATAAATGATAACTGCAGCAAAAATTGTTTATGCTCAGAGATGGAAGAAATGAGTTCTTCCAACATAAGCAGAATGGTTGATAGAGATTACATCTTCATGCTATTGTTGACATCTAATGTTATGTTTACCTTATTTCATTCTATGGTTGTTTTAATAGGCTTAGCTTTTCCTTTATGTTTCATTATATTTGTATCTTGTGATGTTACTCTTATTTTGTGAAATAGCAATAGAGCTTAGGCTATTGGGAGATAAAGAAATCCAGTTTGTAAACAAGAAAAAAAGTGTTGATTCATCCTCTCCCTTTTTCCTCCCCATACAAATAAGTCATTTATGTAAACGTTCATTTTGAAATAGAAATTTCCCATGGCATTTTTTATTAATATCTTTTTAAAAATATGCAACTATGGTTATTAGTCTTTATCAGCATCTTCAGTCAGTGTTACTAAAAATATTAGTTAAATCAATGTGATTGTAGACTTCACCACATCTTTGAGATCCAGAATAAGGGCATGCAGCTTCAGGACTAACTACCTTATTATAGAAATTGTATCATCAGTAAATTGTCTTTTAAATATTTTTTTCTTGATAGAAAGGCTTAGTATTTGACATAAAACAATATTGATTGTGTTGTTCATGAGATCAATTTTTTATACATCAACATAGGTGCAAACTTTGCAGACAGCATTATCTGAATCTCCAGTGATGACCAGCCCTTCCCCACGCATCCAGATCATTTCCACAGATTCCTCAGTAACTTCACCACAACGCATTCAGGTATGTTATAACTTTTGTACTGTATGTTTTTTTTATATTGTGTTATAGCCGCCTTGGGTTTGTTCTCAGAGAAAGACAATATATAAATTTCTCAAATAAATGTTTCTTTTGTCAATATGATTTATATTATCTAACCGTTTCTCTGTCTTATAAAGTAGTATTAAATTGTTTTGCAGTGTACTTTTTTAAAAAGAGATATTTTTCTTTATGTTGAATTCAACCATAATTATCTAGTTGTTATCACACTGCACAGGACAGAGGGTACTACTAGAAAAGCCAATTATTATCTAAAAATTACAGAGTATCATTTCACTAATGCATCTTGTATTTTGGTGATCGTCCATGTGTTGAGAAAATTTCCTGTTGATATATATTCTGCTTGTCCATGTTCATATTCAAAACATATGCAGATAAAAACCTTTCCATTGTCGAAGGCTTTCATGGCCAGAATCACTGGGTTGTTGTAGGTTTTTTTGGGCTATATGGCCACATTCTAGAAGCATTCTCTCCTGATATTTTGCCTGTATCTATGGCAGGCATCCTCAGAGGTTGTGAAGTCTGTTGGAAACTAGGACAGTTGGATGTATTGTCGAAGGCTTTCATGGCTGGAATCACTGGGTTGTTGTAGGTTTTTTCGGGCTATATGGCCATGGTCTAGAGGCATTTCCTCCTGACGTTTCGCCTGCATCTATGGCAAGCATCCTCAGAGGTAGTGAGGTCTGTTGGAACTGGGAAAAAGGGGTTTATATATCTGTGGAATGACCAGGGTGAGACAAAGGCCTTTTGTAAGTTGGGCTGGATGTGAGTCTTTCCACTGACCACCTTGATTAGCATACAATGGGCTGACTGTGCCTGGAGCAAACTCTTCTTGAAAGGTGATTAGATGTCCCTGCCTGTTTCCTCTCTGCTGTTTTGCTGTTGCAATTTTAGAGTTTTTTAATACTGGTAGCCAGATTTTGTTCATTTTCATGGTTTCCTCCTTTCTGTTGAAATTGTCCACATGCTTGTGGATTTCAATGGCTTCTATGTGTAGTCTGACATGGTGGTTGTGAGAGTGGTCCAGCATTTCTGTGTTCTCAATAAAATGCTGTGTCCAGGTTGGTTCATCAGGTGCTCTGCTATGGCTGATTTCTCTGGTTGGAGTAGTCTCCAGTGCCTTTCATGTTCCTGGATTCGTGTTTGGGCGCTGAGTTTGGTGGTCCCTATGTAGACTTGTCCACAGCTGCATAGTATACGGTAGACTCCTGCAGAGGTGAGAGGATCCCTCTTGTGTTGGAGTAGGTGTGAATGTTTCAATTGGCCACCTTAATTAGCATTTGATGGTCTGACGGTTTTTAGGTGTGGCTTGTTACTGCCTGGGGAAATCCTTTGTTGAGAGGTGATTAGGTGTTCCTGATTGTTTCTTGTCTGGAGTTCACCTGTGTTTGAGTTTTGTTCTTTATTTACTGTTATATTTTTAGAGTTTTTAATACTGGTAGCCAGATTTTGTTCATTTTCATTGTTTCCTTCTTTCTTTTGAAATTGTTCACATGCTTGTGGATTTCAGTGGCTTTTCTGTGTAGCCTGACATGATAGTTGTTAGAGTGTTCCAGCATTTTTGTGTTCTCAAATAATATGTTATGTCCAGGTTGGTTCATCAGGTGCTGAAGTAGTCTGCTGTGTCTTTCATGTTCCTTAATTCGTGTTTGGGCACTGTATTTGGTGGTTTCTTATATATTGTCCACAGCTTCATGGTATATGGTAAACTGCAGAGGTGAGAGGATCCCTCTTGTCCTTTTCTGAACTTAGCATTTGTTGAATTTTCTTAGTGGGTCTGTAAATAGTTTGTAGGTTGTGTTTCCTCATTAGCTTGCCTATGCAGTCAGTGGTTCCCTTGATGTATGGCAAGAACACTTTTCCTCTGGATGGATCTTTGTCTTTACTCCTGTGGCTTGTTTTGCAGTTCTTCTGAAGTCTGTGGTGGAGTATTTATTGGCCTGTAAAGCCCATTTTAGGTGGTTCAGTTTGTCTTGGAGGAGGTAGGGTTCGCAGATTCTTTTTGCACAGTCTGCCAGTTTACAGGAACCCCCCCCCCCCAACATGGATAGATACCTACATAAAAACTCCAACCATCACCCAAGTCAAAAAAGAAGCACCATTTAAGCCCCGCCATACTGAAAATGAACAAAATATGGCTACCAGTATTTTAAAAAACTCAAAAATTATAACAGCAAATATAGAACAACACTCAAACACAGGGGAACTCCATACAAGAAACAATTAGGGACAGCTAATCACTTCTCAACAAAGGATTCCCCCAGGCACTAACAAGCTACACCTAAAAACTGTCAGGCCATCAAATGCTAATGAAGGTGGCCAATTGAAACATTCACACCTACCTCCAACAGACAAGCGTTCTTTCTCCCAACCTGGACATTCCACAGATATATAAACCCTACTGTCCTAGTTTCCAACAGACACCACAACTACTGAGGATGCCTGCCATAGATGTAGGTGAAATGTCAGGAGAGAATGCTTCTGGAACATGGCCACATAGCCCAAAAAATCTACAACAACTCAAAAGCCTTTCAGTTTTACTTCAGTGTTTTGTTTTGTTTTTGGTTTTTTTTTTTGCTTATGCAACATGGCATTGAAAACCAGCATCCTTTATAGAGTCATGTCTATAACGCCAAGCCACAAGTGAATTTCTAAACAACTAGCTAAATTTTACATGATCAAATACTTTCATTTTATCTACAGATTGTCACAGATCAGCAAACAGGGCAGAAAATCCAAATAGTAACAGCAGTGGACTCATCAGTATCTCCGAAGCAACAATTTATATTGGCTAGCCCAGATGGAACAGGGACAGGAAAAGTGATATTGGCTGCCCCTGAGACTTCAAATACCAAGCAACTTATATTTACCACCACAGATAACATTGTGCCAGGCAGAATACAGGTAAACACATAAATTAAAGATGTGAATATATTAGACAATGGACATGCCCCACTTTTTTCTGTATTTTGTGCTACTTCACTGCTACTCATTAAGCTTCGTGTGCTCTCCTTTTTCATATTGCTCACATTTTCTTTTCTGTTTCTAAACCATTTTATTGCATAAATGGACTTCTGTTGGAATAACTGCTAAATATTGGAAGAGCTCTTTCTTACTTTACTGTTATATTGAATGGTACTATTCGTCTTATGCTTCATTTTAGATTGTGACTGACTCGGCCTCTGTTGAACGTTTGTTGGCTAAAACTGATGTCCAGCGACCGCAAGTTGTAGAATACTGTGTTGTGTGTGGAGACAAAGCATCAGGTATGTTGCTGTAAGATAGATGTCACCAGCCCTTTAGGGCCAGTGGTTATATTTGGAATTTTGAACAGTTATTAAGGATACTATCACAAAAAGAATGCTGTGAGGGGATATCCATTCCCAAATGGCAGCTTTGATACAAAGCTGGAATGTGTCCAAAGGAGGGCAACTAAAATGATCAAAGGCCTGGATGCCATATCCTATGAGGAGCAGCTTCAAGAGCTGGGCATGTTTAGCTTGCAGAAGAGAGGGTTGAGAGGAGACATGATTGCCATGTACAGTATAAATATCTGAAAGGATGTCATAGGGAAGAAGGAGCAGGCTTGTTTTCTATTGCCCTGGACACTAGGACTCAGAACAATGGGCTCAAATTACAGGAAAGATGTTTCTATCTGAACATTAGGAAGAACTTCCTGACTTAAGAGCTGTTCAACAGTGGAACTCTCTGCCTTGGTGGTTGAAGCTCCTTCTTTGAAGGCTTTTAAACAGGCTGGATAGCTGTCTGTCAGGGGTACTTTGATTGTGCTTTTCCTACATTGCAGAATGGGGTTGGACTAGATAGCCCATGTGCAAAATTATAGGAACTGTATGATCCTATAATTTTGCCAGTTATATCATTCCAGTTTTACCAATTGAAAAAATAGCGAGACATTATCATTATTCAGTGTACAAGACATAGTATGCTCTGAATCCCCAAACGAAAAGAAATTGTTTTGAACCCACAGTTGTTTTTCTCTTTTAAGATTTCGTCAACTCTTTTCATTGTATCATGTTTCCAGCGCACATCATCATCTACATTTTAAATACAGTGATACCTTGACTTAAGAGTTTAATTCATTCTTAACTCAGAAAGTTCTTATCTCAAAGCAGATTTTCTCATTGAAATGCTATTAATCCATTCCAGCCCCCCAACACCCCCTTCCCAATTTCGTCATGTACTTTATAAAATAGATGCACATTCACATGGAACAATAAAAAGATCTATTTTAAAATGATAGAAAGACAAAGTTGTGGCAAGGAAGCATAAAACAGAAAGTGAAGAGGTAGAAGCATCATTTTCTCCATACTGTACTCATTCCAGCATGCCTCCCTCTCTTGCTCTCTCTCTCTCTCCTTCTCTTCATGAACCCAAAAACAACTAACTAAAAGTTCCTCAAAGTGGTCAAGAGCAAAGCAGACAGCAATCTCCCAAAGCAGACAAGAGCACGAGGCATGGAGACTCCCTTGAAGTCCTAAAGCCCTGTTCTCTGGCACTAGTGCTCCCTCTGGTGCTTGCTTTTAACTCAAAATGCTGTTCTTATGTTAAAGTGAAATAAGGCTGAGTGGCAGCTCTTAAATCAAAATGCTCTTAAGTTGAGACACTGTGAAATAGAGGTTACCTAGTGAGAATTTGAATTCAGAGATCAGTTTCAGAGTTCAGATGAAGAACACAAGAAGACAACACTTTGATCCATATCTCGTTTAGTAGATTAGGTCTGAGTGAACGAGTACAAGTTTTCTTGAAGTGTTTAACTTCTTGATTGGTTCATTCAACATTACAGAATCCTTCCTTAGGTGATCCCTTGTAGTGCGAGGATGATGATCTTCCAAGTGATGTGTCTTGGCGGTAGAACCCTGTTCTTGACCTGCATGTTCTCCCACAGTGAGGGTTTCCAGGTTGAAGGTGGTCCCGGTCAGGGTTGGCTTGATACGCCTTCCTCTTGACACGTTTCTCTCTTTCACCCTCCATTCGTGCCTCTTCAAATTCTACAGCACTGCTGGTCACAGCTGACCTCCAGCTAGAGCACTCAAGGCCAGGGCTTCCCAGTTCTCAGTGTCTATGCCATAGTTTTTAAGGTTGGCTTTGAGCCCATCTTTGAATCTTTTTTTCCTGTCCACCAACATTCCGTTTCCCGTTCTTGAGTTCAGAGTAGAGTAGCTGCTTTGGGAGACGGTGATCAGGCATTTGGACAATGTGGCCAGTCCAGCGGAGTTGATGGCGGAGGACCATCGCTTCAATGCTGGTGGTCTTTGCTTCTTCCAGCACGCTGATGTTTGTCCACCTGTCTTCCCAAGAGATTTGCAGGATTTTTCTGAGGGAACGGTGATGGAATCGTTCCAGGAGTTGCATATTATGTCTGTAGATAGTCCACATTTCGCAGGCATATAGCAGGGTTGGGAGGACAATAACTTTATAAACAAGCACAGAATCATAAATTATAAACAGAATGAGACTTCAATGGGAGAAAACAAGTCAAAGTTCTCATAAAAAAAGAGATAACCCATGAGGGATATACCTCAATCTCATAATCTATTAGTAGGTGGAAGTTGGAGAGCATTTCTAAAAGGATTTGAATTGGCCCATTTATAGGTTATTTATATAATGGTAAATATTGGGGGGGGGGGGCTGGTAGTGCAGCAGGTTAAACCACTGAACTTGCTGATCAAAACTTCGGTGGTTCAAATCTGGGAAGCGGGGCAAGCTCCCGCTGTTAGCTCCAGCTTCTGCCAACCTAGCAGTTTAAAAACATGCAAATGTGAGTTGATCAATAGGCACCACTTCAGCAGGAAGGTAACGGCACCCCATGCAGTCATACTGGCCACATGACCTAGGAGGTGTCTATGGGCAACGCCAGCTCTTTGGCTTAGAAATGGAGATGAGCGCCACCCTCCAGAGTTGGGCACAATTAGACTTAATGTCAAGGGAAACCTTTACCATAACGATGATGATGATGTTTCTCTGTGACCTTCAAGTCACTTCTCAACTTACAGTGTTCTGATTAATTTTATAGGTTTTTCTTAGGCAAAGAATATTCAGGGTGGTTTTGCCAGTTCCTTCCTCTGAAATATATCCTACAGCACCTGGTATTTGTTGCCAGTCTCCTATCAGACAGGACCTGGTGCCTTCAAGAATACTTAAGCTCTAAAATATTTCTAGCCCAACCTACAGCCAACCTTGGCAGTACATTCAATTAATTATATTTAAAACAATTACACTTTAAAACAAATAAAAATCAAAATAAAACACACAATACTGTAGATTAAAAACCAAATCGTGATGTTACTTTGTCCAGAATACTTGAGTAAACCAGTTCTGACTTTTGCAAAGTAAGGAGAGACTATGCTAGTCTAACCAGTGAAGTCCCCAGATGAAGTGCACACTGTAAATTTAACCCTTGGATTGTGTGAGTATATTGTATCATTCTGAAATGCCCATTTTTTTCCTACTTGCATAAGGACAGCTCTCTCTGTTTGCATTACTATAGATTATATTCTAGTCATGAGATAGGCAGCTACGACACTGTGACTACCATAAAGATCCCTTTGTTTCTTACTCTCATGGTATCTTGCCAGCTCTGTGTTCAAAGTTAACAGTAAAATCTTGAATCCCTACGTGACAGATGGCCTTAACCAGCACATAGGTTTGCAGCTGGGGGAAGCAATCCAAAGGAGTAGCTCAATGGACATCGTTGTAAAACTATTTCTTCCTCAATTCTGTCAGACCAACTTCCACATCATGAGAATAAGCAGACGAAAATCTACCATTGTAATGGGAGTGCCTAGTGATCTTAGATGCCATAGCTTTATGCTGACAAGGAGAATGCAATGTCTACAACTTACAACTATATAACTGTGCTTCGAGGGTTTGATGTTCCAAACTGAGGTCTCTTTCTGGCACACATGCACACAGTATGACTGGCATTTTCAGCACCCTGATCTAAAGCACTGATTGGTTTAAACATCAAGCACCCTAAACTTCAGTGGAATGGCATAGAACAGATGGTGTTATAGAAAATCTCTTCAAATGCTGATAAATGCTTTAAATATAAAGAATGTCTTCTTTAAAATGTCACTAAAAGACATATAGCTACAATTCAGTTTTGTAAAAATGGAAGGATAAAAATAAACACAAATGATCAGTTGAATTATATATCCACCATATTATTATGAAATCCACCTTCTTTGTCATTCTAATTCTTAAATTTTTCATGTCTTTCCTTCTTTTAAGGTCGTCACTATGGTGCTGTCAGTTGTGAGGGATGCAAAGGCTTCTTTAAAAGGAGTGTGAGGAAAAATCTGACCTATAGTTGCCGTAGCAACCAAGACTGTATCATCAATAAACACCATCGAAACCGTTGCCAGTTTTGCCGGCTAAAAAAATGTCTCGAGATGGGAATGAAAATGGAATGTGAGTCCAAAGCACACAGAATGGTTCTTTGTTTAGCAAAGTTATAGGGGCATGTTAATTTTTGCGATTGATCACTATTTCTTTTACTCTTTATGACTTTTTTCTTAACCCCAAATCAGAATTCTGGTATTATTTTATCCTCTGAAGTTAAGCCTATGGATCCTTTTTATTTGTGCATATTGACAGTGCATTAAAATCTCTATTCTGTACCCACTTACTTAGAAAGAAGCTTGATTTACTCACAAGTGAGTAGATAAACATAAAAGTGTACCATGGTTTGCTGGTGCAGCAATATAACATTAGTGTTTGAGGTGTGATGATCAAAGCCTAAAATTAAACAATAAGAATGTATCTTGAAAATAGCAGCATGTTAGCAAAAAAAGATATTTGCATGAACAGCCAAATATTGATGCTGGGCACAGCATGAGAACTTCTGGAATGGTATAACAGTGCTAGGTAAATCAACAATAACGTTCTGTTGTTCACTTCAAAGTACAAAGATTGAACAAAGTCACCCCAAACCAGCTGGATGTTACTTTTTATATAGCTACTTTGCTTGATGAACCGGCAGAGTCTGCAGCTATTGAGCTTTGAGTTAGGTATGATTCTTAGCACTTATAAAAGGAACATTTTGATACGGAAATCGATATCTAGAAAATCATAATCTGTATAAGATTATAATTGACCAGCTATTCAAGCATTGGTTCATAACTGGAACTGATCAGAATTCATTGGGGGGAAAGCAAGGTATTATTTCCATACTGACAGCAGTGATCTCTAAAATTATGGACAACTTTGCCAAACAGTTTCTGCTGACACAAAATAAGGTATAAGAATTAAAACCCATGCTACCTGCCTGAGATCTTAGTTTGTCAACTATCAGATATACTGTAAAATGGATTCAAGCAGGTTTTGTGTTAAGTTTCTGTTAACTGAGACTCCATAGGGAGAGGTAAATAAGAATAATAATAGCACAATATGAAGTCATGCATTAATCTATACTTCTTATAAGTTTTTGAATGAATACTTTCAAGTATTTGTATTCTTGCATTGTGATCTAGCTGTACAGAGTGAAAGGAAGCCTTTTGATGTACAGCGTGAGAAACCAACTAACTGTGCTGCTTCAACAGAGAAAATCTATATCAGGAAGGACTTAAGAAGTCCTCTAATAGCAACTCCGACTTTTGTAGCAGAGAAAGATGGAGCTAGGTGAGTCAGAAATGGGTGTTTGAACTATTTGCTATTTAGAGAACGTCTTACAAAGTCTATTCTTTAATTCACATAACTACAAAATGGCATTCAAAATGTAAATAAGTTTTGAAATAATTATTTCATATTTGTACATTCCAGCATTACACTATATCCAGTATCCACTATGAAATATTCCATGCATGCTAGGATACTATATATATTATCATTCATACTCCTGTATAAGTCAAACCTGTGTATAAGTCGAGGGCAGGATTTGTGGCCAAAATTATGGTTTGTTATATGACCTGTGAATAAAAAGGGTCATTCTGCTGAGAGAGGGAAGCAATGACTCCATCTCTGTGCCAGTCTTCACAATTTCCCTGCCCAGGCATTCAATAAGCCAGAAGCAGCACCATGGCAGAAAGAATAAAGGGGGTCAGTGCTTCTTTTGGAGTCTCCTGGAAGAGAATTTTTTTTGGTCATATCAGAAGTGACTTGAGAAAATGCAAGTCGCTTCTGGTGTGAGAGAATTGGCCTTCTGCAAGGACATTGCCCAGGGGACACCCAAATATTTTGATGTGTTACCATCCTTGTGGGAGGCTTCTCTCATGTCCCCGCATAGGGAGCTGGAGCTGATAGAGGGAGCTCATCTGCACTCTACCCGGATTCGGACCTGCGACCTGTCGGGCTTCAATCCCACTGCACCACCGGGGGTTCCTTCTGGAAGAGACTAAGCTCTTGCCTTTTGCCACTCAGAGAAAGGAATGGTGCTATTTGGGGAAAAATATCAATTTTATCAGTCGTATCTTCTATTATGTAATACAAAGTGATGCACAATTTGTGAATTTTAAGGTAATTAAAATGCAGTTATATGCTATCCAGACTTATATAATCAGGAAAGATAGTTGTGATCTTTTATTTAGATATTAGCATAGTTTTTCAGGACATAGTACAACTTACTAATGCATGGTAGGATTTCACCTTAAAAGACTTCTGTTGTCAAGATTAGAGTGAGACATTCAAATTGTTAACTCCCCAAGGTAAAGACTTGACATGTTCATTCCATCTCTGTTGTATCATACAAAAGTGTAGTACTGTAAACGTTGTTATGCTTCTTTATTCCAAATTGGATGCAACTCTTTGAAACAGCCTATAATGTACAAGGAAAAGGAGAAAGTCTGAGAAAATAGTTATGCCAAGTTAAAAGATCTAGGTGACTGCAGTTTTGGAGATATGATATTGTTCCCAATAGAGAAATATCTCAACATGGAAAGGCACAGTGGTACTATTTATTATATATAAGAATATGTTGTGGTGTCTGAATAACTCATTACTCATATTTCTTTCTCCATTCTTGGACAGATCAGCAGGTCTTCTAGATTCAGGGATGCTTGTCAATATTCAGCAGCCAGTAATACGAGATGATGGTACGGTACTGCTGGCTACAGATTCCAAGGTAGCATTCCTCAGATTTTGTTGTACGTTAACATTTTATTATTTCATCAAGTTGATTCCTTACTATATGTGAACATACACATTGTTCTCATTCTCAATATTATCACTCAATATGGAGTCGAGTATATTCCAGTTTTGAAGATTAAACTTTGCTTAAATGAATTGACAATGTACAGTATTATGCCATTTTAGTTATGGTTTCCCTGTAATTTTTTCTATTTTTATAAGCAGCTATAACATGGGAGAGACCTAGATGTTTTTAAATTAGCAGATATTTCATGTAATTGTTTCACTAACATTCACAATTGTTTGGCAGGCTGAAACTAGCCAAGGTGCCTTGGGAACACTAGCAAATGTTGTAACATCACTTGCCAGCATCAATGAGTCGCTTAATAATGGGGACACATTGGAAATCAAGCAAGAAGACCAATCTGCAAGTGAGATCACTCGGTATGTACTTCGCATTAGAAGCTTACTTTGTCTGATCTGTGGTCCATTATAAAGTTGTTATTTAATTGATTATCGTAAGCTGCCAGCATTGGTAATTGGCTATTGATAATAGATATTGTCCTCTTTATTAACATTACTGTGTAGGTTATATTTTCCCTCTGTCATCAACCTTCGTAGATTTTTAACTTTAGTGCTACAGTGTATTTGTTAGAAATAGCAAAATAATCCAAATACTTCAGGTTTGCTCTTTGTAGACATAAATGTATGTGTACTGAGATTGTTTGTCACTGCAAATAATAGGATTTTATCACAGAATTGCTGGAATAATCCAGCCCCCAATAGTTACCTTTAAAATCTAGCCTGCTGTCCCTAAGAGCAGTGTTATGTGGCAGTAATGAATGAGATGCTGAAGGATGGCACATGCAACTCCTTCTCCTCAGGCAGTATGTTAACAAAAAAAACGGGGCCTATGTTGGATCTGGCTGCAACTAGGGGTGGAGGGATCAATGTATCATCCTTAGTGACCTGCATCTCAGCATCACGGAACTTTGGCGGAGCTGGTGACATTTTAAAATCTGTTTTGAAGACATTACTATCATGGCACTAGAACTACAAGCATGATAATAGAAAACAATTATAAGTTCATAAGTGTAACTTACAACATTGTAACTGACAGCATACTAGCCCATATTTCTCATGTTTTAATAAATAAAAGTAGCATTGCCAGGAAAGTTTTCCCCCACCCTCAAAAGTGTTTTTTGTATTTTTAATTCCTCCAAGCCTGCAAATACCACCTTATTTGCAACTGTTGCATTTTGGTTTCATGAGGGTAGGTATTCAGACAATTAAGTTCACTGTTAGTATATAGAGTGACATGATTTCTCTTTAGGTGGAATTATCATTTGCTTTATTTCATTAATAATGCATAACTATATTAATATATGTTGAAAGGAACTTATCTGACAGGCTCAATCTTACCTGCAGGGCATTTGACACTTTAGCTAAAGCACTTAATACTGCAGATGGTACAGCAGCTCAGAATGCAGAAGATGGGATGGACCCTACAGGTGGTGGGAATATTCATGTAATCAGTAGGGATCAGTCTACTCCAATAATTGAAGTTGAAGGACCCCTGCTTACAGATACCCATGTGACATTTAAGGTGCGTGTTACTATTTCACAAATGTGTCATTAACTCTTTCATTTTTAAAAAACATTAAGTCAGTGAGCAATACTTTCATTTCCCATGCAGTCTTTTTAAAGTAAGACTTTTTAGTTATCTAATTTCTCTAACTTGTAAACTATTAAAATAATATTAATAAATAATATATTCCTAAATTTCTAACTTTTTTAGATGCTAATACCTCTATGTATTGCAACACAATTTCAAGCAATGTAACCATAAAGAAGCACTGCAAATTTCACTTTATATCAAACTGCTCTTTTTTTTTTGTTTCATTTCAGCTTTCATTCAAATTGAGGGTTTTCATAGCCACTCTTAGGAAAACTCGAATTAAACATAAACCAGCATTTGACTGTCTAAATAATTAACTATGTCAAGTGTATTGGTCTATGGCATTATGGATCTGCAAGTTTGTGGAAATTCAAAGTGATACTTGTGTTAGTCTGTTACCATAAGAAAGAAAAGGGAGGGGATTAAACAGCATCTTGAAAACTTATTTGTATATTCCAGAGAAGCTTCCATGGACTTCAGTCCACTTGTGATCCCCGCTTCTTGTCTCCCTTAGCATGTTGCTTTAAAAATTAAGCTGTTACTGTTTGTGAGTTGGAAAAATGATGAACCTCAGTCTTTTCTATTTTGTTACAGTTAACCATGCCTAGCCCAATGCCAGAGTATCTCAATGTTCATTACATTTGTGAGTCAGCATCGCGGTTGCTTTTCCTTTCCATGCATTGGGCGAGATCTATACCTGCTTTTCAAGCACTAGGGTAAGAAGATTGTTTCTTTTTTGTAAGGAATTAGTCACATTTTCTGTATATACTATTAAAATGCAATTACTTCATTAACTGAGTTGAATACATGACAGTAAACATTTTCAAATTTATATGCATGCGAAAAAAGATTGTCTAAATGTTTTTATTCCTTCCAACAACAGCAGATCCATTGACCCAAAATACAAATATTCATTTTGGCTGCTTATACCTGTAACCATGACAATCTCTCAAAAGAGGTTACAAAACATTTACACAATCCACTTAAGGTGTTCCTATGATGGCAAGATTATTTAAGGAGCATTTCCTTTATAGTTAGTTTCTGGTTTTCCCTTTGGCTGTTGCCTAGACAGGAAGCCCATTGATCAGCTTTGAAGCATGGGACTAGGTTGGAGCATCTGGAATTCATATAATTCTTGAAGGCAAAGTCTTTTCTTCACAACTGCAAGGCTACAATTCTCTAGTCGCTTCTTTATTTCCCAGCAGAGAATGGGATAATATTCTTCAAGGCTGTTCTTGATAGACAGAGAAAAAAAATATCTTCCAGTGTTACCACATGGAGGGTGAAGAACAACCCCTGGAGATCACTCTATCCTGCCTACTACTCCTACAGGATGTGCTCTTCTGAGCTCTTCAAATTCTGTACTACAACCACCCCAGAACCCCCTTTTGTATTTGTCTTGCCTTGGTCTTCTCTTTCTGCTTTCAGCTTTATTTCCCACTTGAAAGACCAGATACTTATTCCCCCTTTTCTTTCCAATTGGGCAGTTGCTGCAACAACCAAACTGTTTAACTCCAGAGAGCATTTAGCAGTGTTCAGCTCTTCCTAATTCACTTGTCATAACTCGCATTAATCTTTCCCTTTCATCCCATTTATTGTCACCTGGTGACACTTGAGTTCCCTTCTCCAGTCTTAGGAAAGATTCCACTTAACTGTTGCTTCAAAACAATTAAAACGCTATTCTCCTTCTGGACTTTTGACACCATGTGTACAGTAGTCTGATCTAGACCTCATTTTCCTTCCATCTGAAAAACAACTAACCCTATTATATCCCTGCTAAGCTATCACCTAAGTACCTTCTCCACTTCTTCCCACTAACACTTACCAAATCTAATAAGTGCATTTTTCTGTTTCGTATCGATGCAAAACAATTTGCTCTATTTCGCCTTCTTGTCCCAATATACAACCGACATCCTTTTCAGCATGCCAATTACATTGTTCCTGTGTATATTTTAGTATTTTCTGTTAATACCCTCATTCTTTTCAATTCTACTTAAGCCTGAATTGGCCTTGACATTAGTCACAACCTCAGTACTGATTTGTATAACACAACAAACAAACACTTGAATTGTAGCATATCTCCAAAAAATGAAATTAAGTTACATAATATTTGTTTTTTATAATTTTTAGGCAGGACTGCAATACAAGTCTTGTGCGTGCCTGCTGGAATGAACTATTTACTTTAGGCCTTGCACAATGTTCACAGGTGATGAGCTTGTCCACTATCCTGGCAGCTATTGTCAACCATCTGCAAAACAGTATACAAGAAGGTATGCATGGTTTCATTTTTAAATGTTGTGTTACTATGTGTACTTACAAAATGTTTAGAATATCTATTAAAAGGTTTGAGCACAATTGTACAGTTTATATTTCAGAAATATTAGTTTTGTTTATACATTTCTTACTAATAGTTCATATTTATGTTGAAATTGGAGTAGGAAAATAGTTTTACCTCATACCTTTGTGTTTTCTTTGCCCATTATCTGAAGTTTAGTGTAGATGTCAGCAGTGTAACTCCAATGCACAAGCAACTGCTTGTTGTTAGAGCTCCACATGATTAGGAATGTTCTAGTCCTAATCGCAGGGCTCAATACTGTCCCCTATGTTGTTTAACATATACATGAAGCCGTTGGGAGAGATCATCCGGAGT